TTACGCGTATTTTTTTCATTTTTTAGCTTAATGAGCGCGTATAACTTTTAGTTTTGTCTGTTTTCACTTAAAAAAAAATGTTGAGTAATACAATTTTAGGAGCTTGAACGCCGTCAGAGTTGCCTGCCCTGGGGAGACAGTTTCCTTTCAAATATTCTGCACTTCGCAAACAAAAATGATTTTTTTTTTTTTCTTTTGTCTTAGAGCAGATGCTGAAGAGAGAAAAAAAAACACAAAAAAACACGCACACGCACCAAAATTTTAATTAAGTCCGCTTCCTTACCTTGAAAAGCGCTAACAAACATGTCAAAATTTTAATTTCGTGACTTTTTTTTTTTTTTCGTAATGGAGCAAGCACAGCTACTGGAGGGTTTTCGCTGTCTAAAGGCACGGTTGGCACAACACCGTCTGCTTGCGTTTTTCTTACGTTACTAAGACAGGCTGTTCACGCCACTTCCGGCCGCCATGACAGAGAGGGGGAGAGAAATACCTCCGGTTCTCCGATGTTTGCCTCGTGTTTGGGAGGGTGCGCGACGGCTCTGCGTACCGCGGCACGAACAAAATGTCACGAGGGAAGTAATTTCGATGATCTCGAGACGAGAGGACGCTACCGACGACGCCGTGCCTGGCAACGTCGGTGGCGTCGCCAGGCTCCAGCAATGCCTGACACGAGAGCGGTGGCCGACCGCACGTTCTCATGAAGCGGCCGCCAGTGGCTATCTAGGAGCCGTATTGATCAGCCAATGGGAGAATGGGCATTTCTCTCGAGTTTTTTCGCGGTTACAGACGCTGCCAGCATCGCTCCATTATCCATGACATAGTTAAGCTTAAAGACTGTTCGCTAAAAAACCAAGATCCGGTTCGGCGCCTGGGGAAAGTCTCCACCGCCGATGCCGTACCGTTCGCGAAGTAGATGAACGCGTTTACGGGTTTGTAGATTTTTAAGTCAATCTCAGCTAGGTATTTGGACCAGACTAGTCGGATAGATGGTCCTGCAGATGCGCCCCACGATGCGTTCGGCGGATTCGTCATTTCCCCGAGGAACAAGTGCTCTTTTTTATTTATTTTTTTATCACCCGAGAGAACCAGAAGGGATGGAGATCTCGTGTACGTAAATTTCGGGAGGTACCACAGTTAGTCGCCGGCGTTGAGACTTTTGGAACATGCGCTACTCACCTGAGGGGCCCTCAAAAGCAAGCAAAACAATAAATAGCCCACCGGAAGTAAAATACTCCCCCCGGAAGTTCGGCCATTTTTTTGTTTTTGTTTACCTCCGCGCACCCTGTATGAGTCTGCAAAATATTCGTGTCTCGAATGTCGCGTGCCAGGCTTGGTGGCGGCAAGAAACTATCACCCTCTACGAGGCGCTCACTCGAGTAAAGTTCTCGATAATATTCGCCACATTTTATTGTCCCGAGGCGTCTTCGGCGTGCTGAAGCCAAATATTTCGAGGATTTCGACGACACCCTCGAATGCGTAGCGCACAGAAGCTGATGCGGAGTGCAAGTTCGTCTGCTTCTTTTGCAGGGGTTGTGGTGACGTCAGAATGACGCCGAGATTTGATTGGCTCTGATAAAAGAATAGTGGGTGTAACTCAAAGCAAGCTGCCTTGAGGTCTGCCCACTATTTTTCATTCAGAACCAATCAGAGCTCGGCGTTCTGGTCACCACAACCCCTGCAAAAGCAGACGAACTTGCGGTCCGCATAAGTTTCGTCACGCTGGTATCAAACGCTTCAGCGGAGTAACGTCTGGAACGTTCAGGGCTCCACATCGGTGCCCGTCTTCAAATTCTTCCTTCGTCAGTCATCAAAAGCAGCCATTAGCATGTACAGATAATATACAGTTAGGCGACGATAGTTACAGTGGTAACCGGACTGAATTTCGGAAAGGGTCTATTAAATAAACAGATGATGATGATGATGATGATGGTGATGATGATGAAGTAAACACGAGGGGCGTTCGTGCCCGTAGCGGACAGGTTGAGAACTGAACCCACGGGGACAACAGCGACGGCAACGTGAATTCTGTGTTTCTGTTTATGCCGCGGCGCTCGGCTGACGTAGCCGAACGCACCGTGGCCGAACGCCAGCGTCGACGTTTGGTTGAGGACCGAGGACCGAGTCCGATCGGCGAAGCGCCAATGGAACACGAGGCCCCGGCCGAAGACTGTCGCGGCTCTCGTGCCCCGTCAGTGCCCCGCGCTCGATTGAGGAAGATGACGTGACAGGATCCAGGTCCTTGTGTCGGCTGAACACCGAGTTTTCCCATAGAAACCATGCTGGACAAAGCGTCCCGCTGTGGTTCTGTCTTCTCGCTGTTTCAGCGCCACGGTGAATGAAGTCGAAACGTTTCGTCGTCCTCGTATCCCTTCGTGCAATCTTCCCTTTGCGAGGGGACTGCAAATAAGCCAGCAGCGATCGTACTAAGTATTTCCGAACTAAAAAAAAAAAAAGAAACCAAAACCATACAGCCGAAACACACACACACACACACACACACACACACACACACACACACACACGCACACACACACACACGCACACACGCACACACACACAACACAACACACACACAACACACACACACACACGCACACGCAACACACACACACACACAGACACACACACACACGTCCGCACGCACGCACGCGCGCACACACACACACACAGAGAGGGAGAGAGATGCACCGTTTCATTTACTTCAAGGTCCGGCGGAAGAAAACAAAAAAATAATGGCGACAGTTTACCTTTATTTTGGGATTTTCGTTCGATTTACGTATCCCCGAAAGATTTTTCTAACAATTTAGGTCGCTCGCAAGAGCGCGTGATTCTGCGAGAACGAAACAAAACGAAAACTAATTTTTCTTACCTCATTGTTCCAAAAGAGAGTCGGCGAACGTGTGTGCGGCTCGTAAATCACGTCATGCATTTTTTTTTTAAGACTATACATTTAGTACAGGAGATATCAACGGGCAAACCTGAAGTCGCCTTTTTATTACTTTTGATTTTTTTTTAGGGCTTTATGTTTTATTATTCCTGTACATATCGTTTTCAAGTTGAATGAGTCTTCGGGGAAAAGAGACGGAGCGTTGCTAATAAAAGCGATCTCGCGATGATATTAATAAGCAAAAAACGTAACTACAATAAAAATATGACTTTTGCTCGTTTTTTGTAACTGCCAAGTCCCGTCTATCAACGAGGGGAAAAAAAATAGGGAGACGAGTTTCCTATTTTTTATTATAACTGTACCAAGTCCTGTATAAAAAAAAAAAAAAAAAAAAAAAAGCAAGCTACAAAGAAGTGATTTTTTTAACTTTTTTTTTTTTAAATATAAGTGTACCAAGCCCCTTTTATAAAAATAATTTAAAAGTTTAGGGAAAGGATTTTGAGACGTTTAAGTTTTTTTATAAATGTGCCAAATGCACGTTTTTAAAAAAAAAAATGTTTGAACTAATTACAAACTTAAAAAACAATCAATGCCAACAAAAGATTTTAAAATGAAGAAGCAAAATTATAGTGGCGTAATAAATCTGGGGAGATAAAATGAACGTCCGTGCCTCTTTTAAGCGGACGTAAGATATCGCTAGAAATATGAGGAGTGAACTGCGTGCTGCGGACAATTTTCCGGAAAGGTTAATTGGGAAATGAATAAAAATTATCAGTGAAAGCGTTTTGACGAGGCGTGAAATATTTATGCACGCTCTAAAATGCGTGAAAAAAAGAAAAAAAAGAAAAGAAGACCAGAGGTGGTAAAATTGTTGGATGATTACTTGCCGAAATCACTTCCATCATCTTTATTATGCTATTGGATGAGTTTTTTTAATCGAAGAACAAATGATCAGTATTTGTTTCCATTCAAATATTAGGCTATAGATATCCATATAGAAATTTATCCAAACCTTAAAGTGAATTTTTCGAACCAATAAGATTCCGTCGCATTCTGAAAGAAAGAAAGAAACAAAGAAAGAAAGAAATAAAGAAACAAAGAAACAAAGATACAAACAAACAAACAAACAAACAAACAAACAAACATTTCTGTGAAGGGCTCCGAGGGCTGTGCATCATAGGCTAGTTCGGAGGGTATTTTTCGGAGTTTATTTTTCGCAAAAAATGCGGGGTTTACTTGAGTTTATTTCACTGCCCCCCCCCCCCCCCCCCCCCCCCGATAAGAAAAATAAAAAATAAATTAAAAAAAAAAAAAAAAAAACCCACAAATCCGGGTACTATGGCTGCGTTGTCTTGAGGGAACTCGACGAGCCAAAAGGCAAACCCCTTTTGTCAGAATAGTTCGAGATTTCAAAGGAAACTGAAGCGGAGTTTCCTCAGGACCACTGACCCTGTGCTCTTACGAAGTTTATTTGTAAAATACCGCATCTTTTTCTCTTTATTTTGTCTTTGACCTCGAAATTTTGAGGGTTTTTTTATATGTTCGGTGTGATGGGAAATTTACCTCGAGTGTTTTGGGGATGATAAATTGATAATGCAATGAATGCAAAGGTGCATTAACATTCTTCGGAGTTTTTCGGATTTACCCGAAAACACGGAATCCTAATCATAGACTTATTCTGCGAGGGATGGGGAGGGGGTACTCAACTTGTGGGTGTTCTAGAGTTACAGGGCTGCTAAAGAGAGAGAGAGAGAGAGAAAAGGGAGGGGGTGGAGACATCACTACCGGTGCGTTATCTCGTGGTAAGCAATCAATCAGGAGCAGTTGGAACGCCGTCCTCAGCGGGCTTGCACGTCACTCAAATAATCAAATTACTCGTAACCGATTACTTTTTGGAGTAATTTTGTAATAATTTGAATACATCTAGTAGGAAGTAATCGCAAGAGTAACCTGACTACTTTATGAAGTGCTAAAATTACTCGTAATTATTACTGTTTTCTCCTCCCCTTCCTGAGGCATTCTTTGTACAGTTTTCTACCAGAGAGAGAGAGAGAGAGCAACTTTAATGGGTCTCCTGCAGTAACCCCTACCATCCCACCCTCTCAGGTGGGTTCTTGGGGCGACGTGGCCGGACGTCTTCTTAGCGGGGAGAGCCGCTCGCGGCGGGCTTCAGCGTACTCGGGTTAACCCTTTCTGCTTCCATCCCGTCCGGTCGCTGCTTCTCGAGTGCCGCTAGGATCTGCTGGACGGCCGTGTGTTGGACGTCGTAGTCTTCGGATCTCTTCGCCTCCTCCATGAGGGGCGGGAGAACGTCTGCACTGTTGTCCGCGTTCGCGCATTCGCAGTCTTCCAGGATGTGGGCCAACGTGGCCCTTTCCTTCCCGCACAGTCTGCATAAGTCTGTTACGTATACCTCCGGCCACAGGTGCTTTGCTAACACTGGGGTTATCACGGAGTTAGTCTGTAACTGGCGGAATACCACCGCCTCCTCCCGCGTCAGACGGGGGTGGGGCAGGGCCATCGTTCTTCTGGCTAACCGGTACCACAGGGTTACCTCGTTGTAAGCGTCCATGGTGTCCTTCTCGGGGCGATCCACCACGTCGGCGGCGGCCGTTACCGGGGCGCGGCCGGCGAGTCCACGCGCCACGGAGTTGGCCGTCTCGTCTCGTTGCTCGAACCCAGTATCCCACAGGAGAATGGTTTTGATCAAAATCGGTGGATTAAGAAAATAAGTAGTTTATATTTCGGTGATTTTAAATTCAATAACCGAGAGTACGAAATACCCGTTTCTAAACCGGCAGAAAAAAAAAATATGCCGTTTCGAAAACCCGAAGTAATCGGGAAAGGAACGCTTACATTTTCAAGCAAAGGTCAATTATACTTTTTCTTTTCAAGTAATCGAGTAGTCTAATTGAATACTTTTTAACCAAAAGTAGTTGTAATTGTAATAGATTACACTTCTTTTTTCTTCCGTGTAACACGTACAAGACTGCGTCACGGTAACCTCAGGGAAAATGGCACCATACACGCCTGGACCTTCGAAAGTGCACACTATATACGTGCACTGCAAAGCTCACGCCCCAATAAAATAAATATTCGAATTAAAAAAAAGCAAAACAAAAAGCAAATGAAAACAACTTTAATGTGCATTTAATGGATGGTCCTGTCATTGAATCCCTTTTAATGCTGTCGTTCCTGGGAAAAAGAAATATTGCTACATTTTACACACAAAAAAGAAAAGAAAACAAACTCCGCATTGTATAGTAGGTTTTTCGACGTTAAACGGTTTCTGATGCATAATTTGTACAGAAAGCAAAACATAAAAGGCAACAAAACGTAATTGCAACTTGAATAGAAGCGGGAGCGCATTATAAATTTAGAATGTATGCCCCAGCGCCCTTGCGTGTCCTCCAAACTTCCGAAAAATACGAACTGCAACTGCATTCGAGGTGCATCGGGGCAAATCGGAGCTCCGGCATACCTTCGTAACGGCTGCAGTTTTTATGAGCAAAATGGAATCGTAGCTAGCACAAACTCTAAAACCCTTTTTTTCTTTTTTTAATGCATGTGCACGAAGTTTTCTTGCCTGAACGAATTTTCCCCACCTGCTCCATGGGTAAGTGCAGCACCCACGGGCCACGGCACGGTTTACGGGAGACTGTGTATACGCCGCATTGCACCCAAGTCGTAAGGAAAAGCCCACTCAACGGAGCTAAAACGCTCCGTTGCAACAGATTTTCGAAAGCCCCTTCGAAATCCCCATCCGCGGTCACGCTCTGCCAACACGTTCATGCTAAACACACTTTGCGCACATCGTCAGGGGCGCATTTCTTTCTTGTGGGACGGACAGTTTTTGTCCTCGGATCTGTGGTGAACACCGCGTTTTTTGTACGATGTGCAAACAGTGTAATGCTGATATAAAAATAAAAGAAAAAAAGAGAGACGTTTACAATTTTCTGTAATGCCGAATCAGAGCGCAGCTCTTGAGAGGGAGGAGGAGGGGCGGGTATGCCCCTCCTGCCCCCTCCGTACCCTCCCCTCATCCTCTCCTGCTCCCCTCCCATTTAGCGGAAAATTTTCCCCAAATTTCCCGCTAAATTTAGCGAAAATTTCTCCGCTTAATTTAGCAGGGAGATTGAATTGGCGTTGAGGACACTTGACGTCCAATTCCCCACTAAATTTAGCGGAGAAATTTAGCGAAAATTTTCCAGCTAAATTTAGCGGGGAAACTGAATTAGTGTTGAGGTCACGTAACGTCAATTTCCCCGCTTACTTTAGCAAGGAAACGTTCTATAATGCAACGCGCGGTTACGCTGACGCCGACGCCGCTCAACCTGGAAACGGGCGCCTAAGAGCTGTGCTCTAAAAAAAGGTGACAGGAGTACAAAGTCTGAAACTTGGCTAAAAGTTTATTCAGCAAACGTCTTACTTACGTACGTCCTCCCCTGAAGGTCGCCAACCTTTCAACCCAGAATGGTCAAAAGATTCGCTCATACTCAAACCCAGAACACTTCGGGCCCTTCCATTTGGCGCTCCTTTTCTGAACAAAATACAGGTTGTTCACGTCGTCCTGCAGCCTCCTGAGGATGCTTACAAAGATAAACGTACCGCCCTCCGCAACACAGATGCGTCATTAACCTTCACTTCGACACTTCCCCCTCTAAAAAAAAACATTTAAAAAAAATCACGCATTCAATTCGTAGGAAGTCTTTGGAAGCGTTACTGAGGTGCAAAGATGCTTGGCTTATACAGTTGCCAATCGTTTCTATTGTAACTGTTTCTCTTACTACTCTTTTCATGCCACTGCATTCTTTATGCATGACTTGTGTGCCTGCATACTGAATCGTACAATTACTACACTCCTGGCAGGCACGTAGCCAGGATTTTGTTTCGGGGCGGGGGGGGGGGGGGGGGGGGATGACAAAATGCTGCATGAGGGGGGAGGGGGGAGAGGAGGGTCCCAGTAAAATGAAAGATTTCGGGGGCCCCATGCCCCCCCCCCCCCCCCCCCCCCCCCCCCCCCCCCTGGCCGTGCCTTACTCCTGAGCATGCTTCGCTAACTGGAGCTGTGCTTGGATTATGCAATTACTGCGTTCCTGGGCATGTTTCGCTAACTGGAGCTGTCCTTGAATAAGAAAATCCTAAGCTTCGCAGGAAGAAATCTATACTGCCTCAGAAATAGGCTACTAATCGCAGAACGCTCATTCTCCGCCCAAATGTAGCGCCAACGGTCCGAACCAGAAATCAAAGTTTCAGAACGAATCGTTCCCTTATTCAAAAGTTATGTTCAATTTTCTGAAGATAACCGTTCGTTCTGAAACTTTGGCTTCTGGTCCGGACGGGTCTTTATCGTTTCGTGAAACACGTTTCGCGGACGCACGTTTCGTCGACACTAGCGTTTCATCGCCAATCGTTACGCGTATCGCACGCTGTAGGGATATTTCGTCGCGCGTGTACCGTGTGCCACTGGGGCGCGTGATAACCTACCCGGCCCACCCGTTCACGCCGTTTCGCGGCAGTCGATGAAACATCGTTCGATTAAGGAGGGATGGTAGGGTAAACAAAACAAAAATATATTTTTAGCTTTAGTGCCAATAAATTATATGCAGTCTGAGGAACAAAACTGGGAAACGATGAGCGCGAATGAGTGCTCCGAGCCATTTAAATACGGCGCCAAAATCCGCGCCCCCTGGTATTTAAAATTGGTAGACGCCGGTGTTTGTTTATATTTATTTATTTATACCCTGAAGGCCCCGCAGAAGGAAGAGGAACACGAAGAAGGGATTAGGGGAGGATAAAAAAGACACCAAGAAAGGCATATATTTTGCGTGTGAATTTTCAAAATGTTATGTTTGGAATATTCTGAACTATGTATCCGGTTCCTCTACAAGTTTGACAGCTTATAATAAAATAGCCTGCCAACAGTTCCAACCTAAAACTTTTGGAATTTACGAAAACTCATGTTTAAAATTATTTTAAAAGAATTTCCCCTCTTATGGCTCATGACAAGTAAGAACAATATTTTTTTTCTTACATGCTGGATGTGTGAAGCTTATTTTACTTAGCTTCAGTTTAAAGCCAGTAACATGTGGAATCCTATCTGTTGTTGCCGAGAAAATGTATATTAAAAACTAGAAATAAGAATTAACAAAGTCAATCCCAACGGCGTAACCATTCAATACATAAAATTTCAGAATAAAATATTCAATAATGTTTGAAATACACAATTTCATCTTCTTTTTTTTTTTTTTGGTCAGGGACACATTGTACATTTACAGCTTTATTTGGTGTAAACACGGAACACAGCCGACACAGCCCGTCCTGAGGTTGCCTGAGCTGTCTCGCATGTACACGCTTACCTTGTCGTCTTCTCTTTTTGCTAAACATTCCGGGCTCTGCGCATGATTCAGTCTATTTCAAAACATCACAACAAGTTCAAATTCCAGGATGGTAATGTGACACTACACAGCGCATACCGAAACCCTGTATCAGCCATACGAGCGGTATCACTTCATAATGAGGATATACGATAAAAAGAAACGAGGATGAGTAGCACATAGGACAGTGTGTATGCCCTGTCCTGCGTGCTACTCATCTTGTCCTCGTTTTTTTTTTTTTTTCTTCGGGGGGGGGGGGGGGGGGGGGGGCGTTGGTTAGGGAGGAGAGTGATATGGTTTCGGTTTCAATCGTCACGTCGACAGATTATGCACAGAGCGTGGACTTTAAACAGCCGTTATTTCATGTTTCCTGGTACCAAGCGTAACGTTTTTACTTTCTAAACTAACCCAAATGACCAGACCTCGAAGCTTTAGCACAAGCCCGAACCACACGTAAAATTTAGCTTGACACATGCGTGTTGTATTTTTGTACTCGAGCCTTTCTGTTAGCACTTCGAGGTATGTGGACGAGCCAGTGCCTGTAATCTCGACGCTGCGAAGCTCGGGGATCTTGCTTGTGTACGAGTCAACACGCTTGAACAACCAATAAGTATGCGTACACCGAGCTAGCACCTTGAAATAAGTGTTTCGGGTCAGGAAGTTTGTTATTTTGCTTTGTACGTCCATTGACGACATATACCTTTTTGCAATTACTGTTTTTCTTTATACGCTTGAGTACGCGAGGTAAAACTCGGAGACGCCTTTGAAAAGCTAAAATCGAACACACTTCTTATCTCCCATCTGTACTGACCCGCAGAACTGCACGAAGTGAAGTCCCCACCCGCTTGCATTCCACCAATTCAATATCGCGTATGCGCACGAAGTTATCTCGCAATCATATAAGCATATTCGCACATACAAACCGTTTTTAATGGTGAACTTTACTCATAGATCTGGAGTTCTTTCCAAAATCCGCGAGGGAGGCAAAATTCCGCTCCGCGGGACCCGTTCCAAATCGACGAGGGGAGGTGAGGGCACGCCTACTTTGAGTCCGTGTAGATGTGTGTGGTGTAGCGTTGCAGCTGGGGGAAGAGTTGTCAGCGGCAGCTAGTGCGACGGCAAGAAGTTCTCCTTCAACCGGGGAAGCGCAGGGCTGCGTTATGGAATGGTCAGTACCGTGTAAAACGGTAAAAGCGAGTGCACCAAGGTTATCTTGAAAGGCTGCGTCGGTGAAAACGTGATAGTTGTTGGACTCGGAATCACGCCGAAAACCAAGAAAAGTGCCCCGGTCTGTCTTCAGAATCGCTCGAGATTTAGGGTATTGTACATTCGTGGGAAGTCAGATAATCGAAAACGCAAGCCGCACATTCGGTCATGGCAACTGGAGCTGCTCTATCGAAACCGAAACTGAGTAGCTTACTAGTTCCCAGAGTGCACTGCCTGGCATTTCGCCGCGGTGGGCCAAACGACTATTTGTGTACATACACTTGACAGGGATACAGACAAAGTGGAGAAAGCGACTGTACCAGCTGGAAAAGAAATATGGCTTCTTTACTGTGCCCGTGGCTGCCACTACAGAGCAAAAGTGGGAACTGGAGGTGCGGAAGAGAGTGCGCGAGGAAGAGGCTGTGCAGTGGTCGGAGGCGGCCCGCTCAAAGTCAACCCTGCAAGTGTACAACCGCTGGAAAAATGAAATATCGACAGAGACAACCCTGTATGATAATAGCATGGGCAGCCGCCTGCTTTTTGAAGCACGTGCGGGAGGGCTAAGAACGCTAGTGTACAGGCAGCGGTTTGACCAACAGGTACAATCAACATCATGCCGGGCATGTGGCGAAACCGAGGAAACTATCAAGCATATTGTGCTCTCCTGCCCAAGTCTCGTACCAAGACACCCGGTAGATTGGGGCCAGGCGCCAGACAACGGGCTGCATCTAGACGAGGCACAATCACACGAACAATTTCTGGCAGAAGCCCTCGGCTTCCGAGTTGGGGACACAGGCAGGGATGCTGTGTGCTGGCCCAGTGCGGACCTAAATCGCGCTGCAGTGGCACTGCAGCCCAGCCACCAGCTGCAGCGACGCAGTCGAGAGGACTAAAAGGAGGCTGGAGGTCTGGTGGCGAAGAATGCAACAGTAGTGAAATTTTTTTCTCACCGTTTTTATTCGGCTAGGTCTGATTTCTATTCAAACCGCCCGCTTCAAAGGGAACAGCCATAAAATCATCATCATCATCATCATCAGAAGTTAGCTGCTTCCTAACACTATCGCTATGTGTCGCCGCGTTCGCTATATCTCCGCGCCATCTAGGGTACGATCAAAGAAATACAACTTGCGAAGATAACTGAGGAGCCGTGGAGGAACTTTCGGAGACGCACTGTTCGTTTAGCCATACGCTCGATTTTTACTCGTAATCTATCAATCTGCTACTACGATCATATCGGATACATGTGGTTTTTTACGTCGTGCCTCCACCGATCACGCAACACACCCGGTCAGCCGACGGAGATCTGGAGCATGGACATTTAAATCTTTGATTTGGATTTGACAGAATAGCACCGCGTGCTTCACTGGAACTCCACCAAGATCTCCAGCTACCATGTCTGTGAGTTCAATATCACGTCTTGTTTCATGCACACCACGCTTCATTTGGCTTACGATAAAGACCCAGCCCATTTCCTCTCGGTCTCGCAGACTATGTGGTGCTATTGGTATTGTCACATTCCACACCACCTCCGTGTTCCATGCATGACGTCGCGTTCACAACGCGACAGGTTTACGCGAAATCACGAGACCGTGGTCATAGCAGCCCTAAGACACACGCTTTGCTTGCGATAAATAATTTATCTACGGTTCGTCATATCTTTAACCAGTTTCTGAATACCTGCGTACGTATGGTGCGCTTAGCAGGAAACTGCGTTTGCTGTACAACGCACGCGGCATTGCAGACAGAATCGGTTAATCAAGCTAATATCCTAAGGCAAGAAATCCGCACTTGTTAATTTGCCACTTTTACACGATTTTACCCCACTTATTCTTCCCAAAAATGCGAAAAAAAAAACAAAAAAAAAAAGTTTTTTTGAGGCATGTCGAACTTCTATCTGAAGTAGTGCAGTTGTTAGAATTAGGGATTCTCAAACGTTTGGCTAAATGTGAATTTGAACCTGAAATGTTTCACAGAAACACTTATTCACATCTGTCAAACTTTGCCTTGGCATATGAATTCATTACTGTCCAAGGAGAATAAAAGCAACTGTTTTTCCTCAGAACTTTGTGGTTCTCACTTTGTAGTTCTTGAGCCGGCCACCAGGGGAGCACTCCATTATTAAAGGCTTTTCCTGTCATGCCACTTTCCGGCACTTCGCTACTTTAAACCTATGTTGTAAAAAAAAAAAAAAAAAAAAAAAATTTTTACACTTTAGTCTAAAATCATACCTTTTGTGTAAGGCATGTCAAATTATGAAGCGCTGGAGAAAGCTAGCCTTCTACATTAAGTCCTTATTTCGAACTCTCATTGTTTGCATTCCACCCATTGAAAAGCATGCGGAAAGGGCATCAGCACACACCTCGTATCGCTGCGGCAGTGTTCTTCCGCAGCGTAAAGGCAGTCTGCTTTCATCGCCGTCACCATGGCAACAAACACCATTTTCTGATTGGCATCTGCTAGCCTAAGTTTAATAGTATTGTAATGAGCAGCCACAGACTGTCGCAGCAAAGTGGCGTGAATGCAGGCGGGGGGATGGGTTAACACACCCCCCAGTGACACACATGCCGTCCGAAAAGGTAATTCGGCTTTCGTTGTCATGGCGACGATGATGAAAGCAAGTAACCTTATGCTGCAGAAGAACACTGCGGCGCAGCGATACAGGGTGTGTGCCAAGGCGCTTCCCTCATGCTTTTCAATGGGCGAAATGCGAACAGAGCGCGTTTGAAATAAGGACTTAACGCAGGAGGCTGGTTTTCTCCAGCACCTCATAATCTGACGAGCCTTACAGGGAAAGCGCGTTTCTTTGGCCATCCCACGCCGCTTTTTTTTTAATGTTTGTAACGGGGGTCTAAAGTATCAAACCGCCCCACTTTCCGTCGCAGAGGGACGACTGCAGCTACAAGTATGGCATCGAGGAAAAGCCATTCCAAGACGAGCTGAAGCCGATACTGGACGAAATCCGTTTCGGCGTAACAGACGTCCAATTGTCCACACTTTCCACTAGCCACTTGGCCAGTTACTTCAACCTCGAGACCAAAGAAGGACGGCGCATGTGCATTATGATGTCACGGCAAGGGTTCCAGGTGGTGGGCAGCGACTACGACTGCCGGGACATCGACAACGGAGAAACATTCGAGACAATCAACTCTCTGTTGGATTCATTCAGCCCTGCTTACCGACGGCTCTTCAGCGAAGCACTAGCTGCTAAGTTGGAGAAGCTGAAACAGAACCAGTGAAAAGAGGCCGCTCTGTGTACACCCAGATTGCAGTTTTAAGTGTTTAAGTAGAATTCACTTCTGTAAGACTCATCTTGTCAGTTAGTGTGTTGCCAAGCACCATCTGCTGGCAGACTTTTAGGAAGGCTTCTGGAAGCAAAGGATTGATATAAGCTGAAAAAGAGCCAGTGAAGAGGATGTACTTTTCACTAGAGAACTTGCTTTGCTTTTGTGAAGCTCCAAGTATAGTGTCAGCACTTTGTTAAGTATCATTTCATTTGGCAGTGTTTTGTGGGGTACTGCCCGGCTGACAAATTATCACAGAAACATGAGGAATCCGTAAAGAAATGGTTGCCGACAAAGCGGCAATCGAAATGTAACCGAGCACATGCCCGCAAAGTACTCAAGGAGTCGATTTGTTAGTGACACAACTATGGGGCTCATGCCAAGCATACTCAAGGAGTCGATTTGTTAGCGATACAAATACACACCAAGCGCACAATTCCACCGACTGCAGTGGTTCTTATGTGCATTATATATTGGTGCCAAGTGTACTGTTCTAGTCAAACCACTTGTATATATTCCACCCTTTCGACACCAATATTTTAAGTGCACAGAATTTTTGCAGGCTGCCAAAACGGTTTCCCAACCAATCAAAGTAGGGACTCTGGTCAACACATGTTACTATGAAGAGCGGGGCAGTTCATTGCCAAAAGGTTGCACTCCAAGACATGCTGGGGCGTCGCATTATTTTACTAGATCCCGCTATGCTTCCAGTTGTATTCCATGTCGCAATGTCGTCTATGCCGAGAGTGTGTTAATTAAACCGAACACATTTTTGCAACGAAAGCCAATAAAGGAATACAAAACGTAGAGAACTGTCGTTCCTAGTATACACACAACATTTATTAACAGTCAAAAGTTTCTCTCTCTTCTCTTTCTATATATATATATACGTAGCCCCACCAAAAAACCTAAACATGTGGGGCCGAATTCCTTCTTGACAAAGTATGTACATGAGGCAGAGAAAAGATGCACACAGTTGTCTCCTTTCTAAATTAAGCAGCACCATTTTTGATCCCCAAAGAGGTCTCAAAAAGGGGGTCGGAGAAACTGCGCGAGTGTGCAACATGTGCGGGTGATAGTGGCTCAACCTTTAACGGACATCCTTCAACTATTTACACAACATAGCAATGCACTTTTGGACTCGCCGCATGCTGCAGTGCACGTGCCTAGCAAGAACGCATAGTAGGCGTCTAGCTGCAGCCCGCATTCCAATCAACATTCCATCATTTCACACGTATGTGCACCTACAACAGGAGAACAAACTTCCAATCCGTAAGAGTGAACTTCAGAGTCCAGTCTGGCAGTTCGGGATGGTCTTTCGTGGTGATCTCGAAAATCAATCGAGCAATAGAGTTCCAAACTATGGCAAGCATACTGGTACGCACACAAGTATCACTAATACAGATGGGTTAGGTGAGCAATGGGTGATTGCGTTTCCCGGTTTTCTTTTTTCTCTTTCTCTCTTCGGGATTTGAGCGTTTGTGGCAAAAGAAGATGAAGACGCCGACACACTGGGAATGCAACGCGAGACGAACAGGCGGATGGTCGTGCCTGCGTGCGGTACGCCGACCGAGACGGAATCGGAGGAGGCGGATATTGCTGACGAAGGTCGTTTTTTACTCTAAAATGTGCACTGCTTAAACTTGTACACACCCAAGTTGCTGGACCGGTTCCGCGACTGTACAATGCCCAACCACAACGGGTCCGCTCTGGCGGGCGAAACCGTTCGCTGCGGAACGCGGAAATGGCAGTCGCGGAACAAACGCGGGTGACGCCAGGCAAAAGGTGGCAAGTAAAATAGAAAATATAACAGTCAAACCATAGAATGCATTATACACAATATGTACAGGATAATATAAATAAGGGGACGGGGGAAATGGGGGAAAGTAGCCGCAACTGGCGTGCGACGACGACAACTTTCCGACGGACGCGGCGGCGAAATAACCGAGAAGCACCTTAGTCGTTTCCCCTCGCAGGACGCTGCCCCTCGTTACCCGGCATGGAGAGCGGTGGCGGCAGTCCGGCTGAGGTAGGCAACCTTGGTCCCCGCGCTGCAACGTCTTGCCGACTCGTTCCTCAAACGCAACGGACAAGAACCAAACAAACGATCGGGCAAACGAAGTCGCGCGCGCCCCGGACGACGCGGACTTGTCGGAGGTCCCCGGCAACTTTCAGTAGTAGTGCCGCACGTGCAGTGGTCGCGGTTTCTCCGTCGCCGTTCTTGGAATGCGGTGGCTTGACTCGTGTGGACCTCTGCAAGGCGATTGCTGGTGCAAAGGTGTCTGCCGGTTTTCTTCTACCGTCGGTGAGATGCACAAACAAAGCTGGGCCCTCTCCAAGGTTGAATTCCTGAGTGTCCTGGTTCCTCCGAGGACTTGAAGGGGTCACGCGACTTCAAGGGAGTCGAGTGGGGACAGTGGGGTGCCCTAAAAGTTTGAGTAGGTGATGAAAGATGCCGCATCCTCCGGGGGGCTTCTGTGCTGGAAGGGATGGCGCTGCGAAGAGGGAGGTCGCGTGACAGTCCCTGGAACGTTCGGTACTGCTTCTCCGTGTCTGGGTCCAAGCCGGCGTTCATTCATGCTCTGCAAGGAACCGCGGGATAATGACGCATTACGCCGCTGGCTGCACTGTGTCTGGTGTGTTATAAACCCTAAGGACGATGACAATATAACCATCATTGACAGTGCCGAAAATGTTATTCCGTCTAACCTGCGTGCGTCCAACCTTAATTACGTTTTAGAGCGCAGCTCTTGGGGGCCCGTTTCCGGCTTGAGCGGCGTCGCCGTCGGCGTAACCGCGCGGTGCATCACGGGAAGTGTCCCATAATGCACCGCGCGAGCCCCCCACCGGGGTCACGTGACCTCGTGGGGGGGCACGTGACCCCCCCGAGGTCACGTGACCCCGGTGCATCATGGGAAATGTCCCATAATGCACCGCGCGAGCCCCCACCAGGGTCACGTGACCTCGTGGGGGGCACGTGACCCCCGCCGATGTCGCATGACCCCCCGATTACGTCATCGTCACTGATCACGTCACCGGCATCCACATCGTCATCATCATCATCACTGATGACGTCATCATCAATGATGACGTCACCGGCATCCACATTGTCATCGTCATCATCACTGATGACGTCACCGGCATCCACATCGTCACCGGCATCCTCATTGTCATCATCACTGATGACGTCATCAGTGACGTCACTCATGTCGTCACCGGCATCCATATCGTCATCGTCATCATCACTGATGACGTCACCGGCATCCGCATCGTCATCATCACTGATGACGTCACCGGCATCCGCATCGTCATCATCACTGATGACGTCACCGGCATCCGCATCGTCATCATCACTGATGACGTCACCGGCATCCGCATCGTCATCATCACTGATGACGTCACCGGCATCCGCATCGTCATCATCACTGATGACGTCACCGGCATCCGCATCGTCATCATCACTGATGACGTCACCGGCATCCGCATCGTCATCATCACTGATGACGTCACCGGCATCCGCATCGTCATCATCACTGATGACGTCACCGGCATCCGCATCATCACTGATGATGTCACCGGCATCCGCATCGTCATCATCACTGATGACGTTACGACATCCGCATCTCCGCATCGTCATCACTGATGACGTTACCGACATCCGCATTGTCATCGTCATCATCACTGATGACGTCATCAGCGACGTCACTGATGACGTCACCAACATTCGCATCGTCATCATCACTGGTGAAGTCATCAGTGACATCACTAATGACGTCATCGGTACCTGCATTGTCATCGTCACTGATGACGTCATCAGTGATGATGACCCCTGGTTAGTTTAACCCCCCCCCAGTGCCCTTCCCTCCTCCTCAAGAGCTGCGCTCTAATTCGGCGTTACAGGGAGTTGTAAGCGGCTTTCACTTTTTAAACATAACTTTTCCGCAGCCACAAATTCTCTACCGCCTCTACACCCCCGCACAACTACATTTTATTGTCTTTGATAACAATTGAACCTACTGGTGTTGACAGAGTGATTAAACACAAAGCATCTTCAGCTCCTAGCTGCGATTTCATTAACCCCAAGGTTTTGAAAAGTGCTGGTTGTTATTCTTCTATCATATCAAAGGTATTCCAGCAGACACTTGACAATGGTTTTCTTCCTGCTAAGAGGAAGGTTGGGAAGGTAATTCCACTTCATAAATCAGGTACTAACAAGAATTCCCCACTTAATTATTGGCCCAATTCAATCACCAGCATCCCAAATAAAACCTTTGAGCACATTTTTTTCGAACTTTGCTAACTTTCTTGAGTCTAATTCGTTTTTCAGATTTTCACAACATGGCTTTCGGAAAACCTATTCCTGCGAAACACAACTGGTATTCTTCACGCATAAACAAAACATCCTCGACCACCCTTCAATAGCCAATTGCATTTAGTTTTTTTAATTTTTACAAAGCATTCGATAAGGTATTTACAAATTATTACTTCACAAACATCAACTTACCCTCGATTCGAAACTTTTAACATGGCTTGACTATCTTTTTGATAATCATTCAGTTTGTTTTGGCGAACAATCTAAACTCTGAGCCAACATGCATTCACTCCAGTGTATGTACCACAAAGCTCAGGGCTTGGTACTCTACATTTTCTACGAGAGGAGACTTGCGTCTCCTCTTGTATTTGTATGGTCGCAGACAACTGCTTAGGTTTTCAGGAACTAACGCGTAACGACGACTTAACAACTTTCCAATCTAACCTCGACGCTATCTCTGTATGGTTCGAAACTTGGTGTGTGGGGCTAAACATTAACAGACATAAATTTTTGTGTGTTTCCAGAATAATTCAAGAACTCCCACTCTACTATCTTAACAACCAGCCCTTAGATGCTGCAATTCATTTATAAGTGTCTTGGTGTATATATTTTTACTAATCTCACTTTGAATGTTCACACTGCATATGTAATTAACAACGCTATGAGAATGTTGGGATATTTGCGACATAACTTTTCACATGCATCTTCCTCTCTCAAACTAACACTGTATAAAACACTAATTTGCCCCAAACTTCAACATGCCACATCAGTTTGGCATCCTGACCGAGAAAACTTTATTTAATCATTAAAAATGGTTTAAATTAACTCTGTTAGTTTTATACTCTCTAATCATAATAGAACAGCAAGCATAAGCACCATGAAATTTAGTCTTAATCTACCATCTCTAGCTTCTCACCATAAAAAGTCTCGTCCGTCTTTTTCACAAGCTATATCACTACCCATACCTTCGCGACAAACTCATCTTTCCTCCTCAATACATCTCACCTCGATTAGATCGTGCTCACAAGGTCGGAGTTCCATTCTCCAGAACTAATGCTTTCTTTCAGCCATTTTTACCATGCACATCTGAAGAGTGGAATTGCCTTCCTGCACCAACAGCAACCTTCGAAGATCATCAACATATCAAGAATGCATTAGCTAACATTGTATAAGTACAAGCCTTCCTGCCCATTTTATGTTGTTGTAACCACTCCCCTATCTAATGCCTCCTGGCCCTGAGGGCATTTTAAATAAATAAATTAATTAGTAAAAATAAACACAATTCCAATTAGAAGCTTGCCGAGTGTCATCAAAAACGACTAAATCAGTCGGGAGCATACAGGCGAGCTTGTTAGGGAACATTTCTCCTCGTCTTAATTTAGGTTTAGATTATGAAATCAGTCAGTCTTAGAAAGACTGAGATGTGGGAAGTGCAGTGGAGCGCCAAAGTTTCTACTGGTGCGACAACGCGCCCGCACGGTTTTTCCGTCTCTCATCGTCCGCCAGTGATTCGCCAAAGTTTCTACTGGTGCAGCAGGAGCAAGGCTATTGGTGCGACGACGCGCCCGCACGGTTTTTCCGTCTCTCATCGTTCGCCAGCGATTCGTAGATGGCGAATCTCGGCAATATGCCGAGAGACAGATCTCGCCGCTTACGCTTCGCGTACCGGGCGATCCTGAAAAGACTGCGAAGGTGAAGCTGATCTAGACTCCAGCACACACGTCGGTCCCCGGCAACGAGGAGGCTCACGACGCGGCCCGGGGTCTTACTCGCTGGGCCGGAGTAACATCGGAGCCCTTCACCGAACCGTTGACGGGGGGGAAGGGGGGGGAGGGGGGGGGGGGGGGGGTCGACAGACTGATAAAGTTTCGAGACATTCTCGATTATTACGCCGGCGAAAGGACGTACTACCCTCCGGCGCATCCTTCGCTGGATAAGAGACAAGCGGTAGCGTGGTAGCGACTACAGACAGTCATCTACCCCAGTCCTGCCCAGCTCAGCCGATGGTATCCGGATAGCTACAAATGAGGCTGCCAGCTATGTGGTGCAAGAGCGACTCTTCGCCACGTGGTTTGGGAAAGCAGTGACTCGACTGCAAAGCCCAACCGCTACCGAAAATAATCGCCAACCGAGAGAACTGGGAAGTTCTTCTCTAAGGTGCAGGAACAAGTCGTCCAACTGGCCAAGGATGCCACTGGAGTCAAAGGGATTCTGGCCGCCGCCTAAGTGGTCGTAGGGAGGGGACCCCTAGATAGGTCTCCGACCAATCACTTAGTCTTTCTGGGAGCAATTAAAGGTTGTCTACTACAACTACTTATCAATCGTGTTTTCTCACCGCCAGTCTTCCGCCTGTTGCATGAGTGGTAACAACTTTAGCGCACTACTGCGCCTCCCACGTGCCAAGTAAAAGTTGGTCAAGATGTTTTTGTTAATGGGCCAACTTATCGCAATAATAGCCCCCTATATTATGTACCCCCCAGCCGTATAACTCGTCTGCAGAGACTGCATTATTGTAGCTTTCTTGTTTAAAGGGCCCCTGAAAAGAAAAAAAAAGTTTTTTAAAAACAGTCTGGTTGAGACACGCGTGTCAAAAAATGAATTTTACGCGAAAAAAAAATTTTTTTAGAGCTATATTGACTGCGCCAGAAGCAATTTAGTCGGTAGTCACCTCCTTTCCACCTTTCTCTCTCTCGGCATTTCGGGCGCGTGGAGGAGAGGTAGTCCCCGCCTCTTCGTAATGGATCGGCTTGGCTGCTTTCCTGGCTTGGCTGCGCCCCGCACGAGAGCCATTGCTACTTCCTGGTCGTGTTCCAAAATTTACTCGATCTTACCCCAGGGTAAGGGTTTTGTAACCTTGGCGTTCTAAAACCTACCCGCGTACTGCGTTTTTCAATCTGTGCTGTCAAGTGATACGATCCGCCGGAGAAACTCGGATCCATTTGGAGATTTGGAACACAGCCCGTGGCCACTGTGTGTGCCGATCGCACGACGTGACGACGTTACCGCGTCGTATCGTGCACGTACCGTGGTCACCGTGGTGCCGTGGTCGTCCACACAGTACATAGTCGTCGCGGTGCACCCCGACCTGAAGCGTCGGTTGCTTCAACGCTGCCAGCAGCTGGGCCTTCGCCCGTACGAGGACACGCCTCGCCAGCCGGAAGGCGTCCGCTCCGATCGCCGCAAAACAACCGCTCGCGAGGCACCCGCTTCGCCGCGGCGAAGCGGGTGCATCGACGAGTTTGTTTGAGCCGCACGATCCTTCAAGCCGCCGCGAGGACACGCAGTGGTGACTGATTTTTTTTATTAAACGTTGAGTGTGGTGTCGCGTGCCTCACTAAACTCTTTACGGGAACAGACATCTAAACAAAAATTGGCACTCGCGCGCGCCAGAAAACAAACAAAAGATGGGGTAAACGGGACACACAAATCGCGCAAAGAAGAGTAGAAAAACAGAAACCTGTCATTCCGCGCCACTTCCTAAGTACTTACGATGACTGACTAACTAACACAAGCAACAAGCCCTCTTCAGAATGCGAGACGCGAAGACGGCGACCATGACAGAAAACAAAATGGCGAAGCTTTTGTTTGTTGTTTTGTTGTAGTATGAAGCCTGGAACGCGTCTCCGACTGGTGTGTTTACCGGGTTCAAAAAAGTGGTCCCTCGATTTCCGCCTGACGACGTCATAGAAGTGTCATGCTGTCGCCTGTTGCGACCCTGGCGGCGCCCCAACAGTTGTGGTATAAGTGGCAGACGCCTGTTCTGCTGCAGGTCGCTTTCCACTGTGACAGTTCACGGAAGCTGAAGCAGCCGGAAGTTGGGACGCCTAAAGGGACGCCGTGACGAAAGCGACACTCGCATTCGCTCGTGCTTTTCGCCAGCATTTCTATGGCCAACCGCCAGGATCGCGACAGGCAACAGCATGACACTTGCGTCATTTGTTGCCACATTGGGACCACTTTTGATGTATGGGCGGGATAGGACGCTAAACACACCAGTCGAAGACGCAATCCAGGCACCATAGTTGTAGTATCCGAACGGAAGTTACGATTTTGTAAAACGTTTGTAAACAATTGCGACATTCATTCGATGGATTGTTTCTTAAACCTAAAAATATGTAATTCAAAAGGCGATTTCAAGAGATCACGAAGATTTCATAACCAACATCTATGCTGTCACTCATTCTATTGGCCAATGAGAAGCCGATTTGAATGACCATGGTTACCAATGAGAAGCCGAGCTGAATGACCTGGAATTTGCGCGCAAATTTTCAAATAAATCTCTCGCCGTCAATATTGCTCTAAAAAAATTTTTTTTTCGCGTTAAATTCATTCTTTGACACGCGTGTCCCAACCAGACTGTTTTAAAAAAACTTTTTTTTTTTCTTTTCAGGGGCCCTTTAAAACAAATCTCTAAAGCCTTAAAAAGAAACACCCTGTATGTGTAGATCAGAAGCGTTCCAGTGCTACCCGACAGGTAATGACAGCGCATTCTCCCGTCATAAGCGATCACAAGCGCTTGATGCAGTTGATAGCGCTCAATTGCAAAGGTGTGACCGAGCCTTAGAGGTAACTTCAACGACCATGAAAGGTAATAAAAAAACCAGAGGCTCGCCTACCTTCTATCTTTTCGAGGCAACGCAGCACCTCCTTCTCCAGCTTCTCGTCCTCAAAGAGGTCGAGGGAGGAGGCGCTGTTGGCATAGCGCCGTCTGCAGATGTCGCTGACACGCTCCCAGTACAGCTTGTTGTGGTCCACCGCATCCGCAGTCTCCTTGGCGGCTGGGAACATCTCGGCCAAGAGGCTGCAAGACGCACGACGCGCGCATCAGTTTTCCCGTTCCGTGCCCTAGTTTTCGTAGCAAAATTTCGAACGAGAATCGGATAGCCCTTTCTATCTCAACTCGACGGGAACGAGAAATATAACGTCTGTCTTGTGAAGCGGTTGCCACGACGACGATGTAGACTCGATCAAAGATCGGCTTGATGTAAGTTTGCTATGAAACCCGTAGCACTTTCTGCTACGACGTGTGGTTCCCGCTCTCAAGAGTTCATCACAATATGTAAGCTCAATCAAAGATTGGCTTTACAATAAAAAAAAAAATCTGTAGCAATTTTTTTTAACTACGTTTGAAAGAGGTGAGTGAATTTGCTGCTGCAATGTGCACTTCCCGCTCTCGACGGCTGATCACGATGAGTAAGCTCCATTATTTAGAAATCGGCTTGACAATGTTTCTATTTCAACTCTGTTCAGAAGAGAGAGGTGAAATGGCTGCGACGACGTGTGCTTTTCATTTGAGAGCTCATTGCAATGAGTACACTCGATTAAAGATCGGCCTGACAACGTCCTCGATTTCTGAAGCACTCTCTATTTCAACTCTGCTCAAAGGATGGAGGTGAAATGGCTGCTGTGGCGTGCGCTTCCCGTTTTCGAGAGCTCATCACGACGGGCGGACTCACTCGAAGATTGGCTTGACGATGGTCTGGATGAAGTTGATCTGTAGCTCGGGGATGCAGGCCTTCTCCCGGTCCATCATCTCGCTTGGCTTCACCCCCATCGCTTTCTCCAGGTCGCCTTGCGAGAAGAACTCGTTGTAGATGAGCTCCTGCAACGAGCGCGAGGTTCCGCCAATTGCGATCGGACGTCCAGTAGGTACAACCGCGGTAGTGGAGTGGACGGATCTAGATAACACGCGTGACGCTGCAATACTTGGATTTGGGGCTGGGTCTAGCCCGACTAGTAGCTACACTAGCCAATGCCGTAGTTGTGTTCTCTTGTCCTCCTCCACCAGCACTCCAGTCTCCTCTTCGTTAGCTCCACTGGTTGCCAACTAATGTGGCGTAATGTTTGTCAATGCCCCGGAAGCCCAGCGCCACCACCATGTCTGGTTCGAATGTAACATCCGGCTTCAGGCCTGTGCATTCTAGTGTAACATGCTCTGTCTCGTCTGCTCCTTGCGCGCACATGACACACCTCACGTCCACGTCCATGTACTTTGCGCAGAGCACGCGGGTCCGCAACATGCCGCTTCAGGCATGTTGCGTATCTAACTAGCAACCATACTAACACTGTGGTTGTGAGTGTTGCCAACTCAGAAGTGAAATACCTACAACAAAAAGTTTAACATTGTTCATGCCAACTATGTAATCATTTTTTCTTTTTTTTTTTTACTTGATTCAATTGTATTAAACTTTGTACCATCGCTTCCCCCCCTATGTAATGCCCGTCAGGGCCTGTAGGGTAAATAAATAAATAAATAAATAAATAAAAACCACTAAATTTCAGGCAGAAAGCAAGAAATGATGTTTTAATCTAATTTGCTGCTGTAATTTTTCTGAAAACAGTGTAATAAATGAAACAACCCTTAGAAGGAAGCTGTCTGTGTTGAATCAGGCTGCTTCCGTGCCCAGAGCTATGTCCACTGCTTCATTGTGTTACTAGGTGCATTGCCATGACAGCTGACGTACACCCCTATCGTTATGAAGTCAAGGAACTACAAAACATTTTAGACCTCCAGAGGGAACACTAACACGACCAGAAAATCAACAAAAAAATTCTGCCACCCGCAAAACGGCAGTTTCTCCCACCAGACAATACCGAAAGCCGTCGAAAGGAGAACCACGACCAGCAAAGAGACAATGTTTCCACTGGACAACACTGAAAGCCGCTAAAGAAAAATCTGCCACCCGCATTTAGGCAATTTTTTCCACGGGACAACACTGAAAACCGCTAAATTTAGTGGAAAAATGTCAAAATCGTCAACAATAACGATAACGGTTTTGCGGATGAGAAACACACCCATGCACGGTGCCACAGAGCTCGTCTTTGAAGGGAGGCTGAACTGATTTTAAAGGGATACTGAATCGAAATTTCGATTTTGTAAAATAAGGTGGCAGAAGCGTCGAACGGGACGCTACGAACCCCAAAACATCGCTCGCACATCGATATCTCAGACGGATGGCCGTACTTTTGGAAAAGAATAGCGCGATCAAGCGAGGTCTTTCACGTCACTGTCCTCCGGGAGAATTTGAGAATGAGGGGAAGCGGCCTCGCTTCTCTCCTCCTCGTTTCGGTTCACCAGCTCGACGGGACGTAGCGAGGAGGAGAGGGAATGGGACTCGTGACGTCGCATGCCTCGTTGGCCGTATTCAATCGCGCACTTATTTTCCAATATACGACGATCCGTTCGAGATATCGCTCTATGAGTGATGTTTTTGGGATTTACAGCGTCCCGCCTATCCGCCCAGCCTTGTTTTGTGAGGTCGAAATTTCGGTTCAGTATCCCTTTAATTTTGGATTGCAACGCGTAGAGTAGGAATCCCAGAAATATTGATCAACTTCGTTCCACGCCAATTAAACAGTCTACGGACCAGCCATGCTGGAGATGCTGTGCGCGCAATGAGTTTATGTCCCGGGATTGCCAGTGTCGAAACAAGAACTGAGCTCTCCCCCTGCCCCCGCCCCATCCCCTACTCTCCCTCCTACCCCGCTCCTCAGCAGAAGCCCTCGGCGATTTCCTCCAATTTCCACTTGCCGCGTTTTGTGTAGAAAGATGTTGGTTTTAAAGTCCCGCTCAGATGGCGCGACTGTCACGTGCAAGCCGAGATGCCTCCCACAGCGCTGATATCACATCGCAGCCCAGATCGCTCCGTCGCAGAGCTCAACGAGACGTCACCCCACGTGCCCTCGTAGCACGAAAGCGAGATACCCGCTGACGCCAGAGATAACGGCCGGCGTGAAGATAGCCAAAAATCGCGCCACATGGAAACCATACCACGGGGCATGCGCACGTGCAGGCGCGTGGCCGGAATCTCGCTCGTACGATGCGTGCTGTGGGTGTGATGCGTTATCCGTCAGCTAGGAAAAAAAAAAAAAAAAAAAAAAAAGTGCCGCTATCGGGCAGCGGGTTTACGTGCAAGGGTGTTCAATGTGCACGCGACTAGAGAGGACGCGTTGCTCCACACGTTGGCGCAACAACGCCAGGTACGACGCAGTCACCAGTTGCTGTGTCATTGATTTGTTTAAGGGGGGATGAAGGTTCTTAAACACTGTTTTACTTTATTCACGTATCTCACTCAAATACAGCACATAAATGTAATCTTTAAGACATTTGCAAACAAATCAACCACAAATCACACAAAATTTGGACAACACAAAAATCATTTCATACTATCTTTTAAAGAAACAACTGGGGTATTAAGTGCACAAAATAAGATATTGCTTTGTTCAGAGCCTGCTTAAGATTCTATACCAGCAACAATGGCTGAGGGGCGCAACAGTAACCAATAAATGGCTTCTTCTAAGGACAATGGCTTTAAGGGGTGTGACTAACCACCAATGACAAGTTTAAAGGTTGTGAGAACAACCAGTAATTGGCTTCCACCAGTGACATTGGCTTTGAGGGGCATGACAAACACCAGTAACTGGCTTTGCACTGGTGACAATGACCTAGAGGGGTGTGACAATACCCAGTAGCTAGCCTGCACAGGTGAAACCAATTTTGAAGGTTGTAACGCCAACCAGTAACTGGCTTAATGGGCTGTGACAATTACCGGTAATTGGCTTCCACTGGTGACAATTGCTTTGAAGCTTGCAACAATAATCAGTAACTGGCTTTTACCAGTGACAACGGCCTTGACGGGGTGTGTGACAATGACCAGTGACAATAGCTTTGAAGGTTGTGACAATAACCAGCAACTGGCTTCCACTGGTGACAACAGTTTTGAAGGTTGCGACAAAAACCAGTAACTGACTTCTACCAGTGACAGTGGCTTTGAGGGGAATGACAGTAGCCAGTAACTGGCTTCTACCAACGACAGCGGCTTTGAAGGGCGTGACAGTGACCAGTAACTGGCTTCCACTGGCGACAATAGCCTTAAAAGAAGGTCACTTACAGCTATCTTCTTGGAGCTCCTCCAGTCCTTGGTCTGGTCCGAAAGGTCACAGCAGGTCACCAGCATGCTTGTGAGGAGTTGGTGGTGCTTGCGGTTGCTCACGTCATAGCCCTCTGACAATTGCAAAAAAAGCAACAAATCACAATGCTTGCAGGGCAAGAGCCGTCGTCTACCATTTGAAGAGCTCTCAGCTATGCTATACTTAAATGTACCACACTTGGCTGGGCTACACTAAGTCAAGTGTAGCATAGTCAAACATAGCATGTGAAAGACCCTAAACTGGCAGTGGTACAGGTACTGCACTGGCTAAATTTCTCATCTACAGAAGAGACCCCAAATGTTCCTGGAGCTGGCTAACTTCCAGCAGTCCAAACAAACACCAAACAAAAATCATTGGACTTGAAGGTCTGCAAAAGGGGAAATTAAGAAGGGGAAGTTAAGAGAAATGAAAGGCTTTGACGGCAACGCACCTTGTACCATCGTTTTGAGTTCCTCCACTATCCGGAAGTGATGCGCCAAGTCTGTCGCCAAGATGACGTCCCTCATTTGATCCAGGCAGTCGGTGTATTCCTGAGGCACCAAAAACGACGCACATAAATTCCCCCTTGTTTACCCAAAGAAAGATGACAGATCGTTTCAGCTGGGAAGTGCCTAATGCAAGAAGCTGTCGCAGAACACAGAATGCTACAGCTGGCAATGGCTAATCAGTTCCACATAATTTGGTTAGGTTCGTCTAAGTTCCTGGTTGATGAGATCACACGAAAAGAGGTTACCTCAGATGTCTCATGCAAGACTGAAAGATGCTTCCACAATGTTTCACACAAACAAACATGTGTCAACATGAATGTTTTCTGCATGTGCCTCAGAAGTTGTGGTCTATGTCACTAAAGCAATCAACTAATAGTAACAGCAAGAATGCTCTTTCAGCTGTCATGCCTAAAAATGAAACTTTATGAGGTCTCCACTGTAAGCTTTGTTAGTCCATTCCACATCGTTATTTTCTTAATGCAGACGAGCTAGCCACAGTGCCCGTTTCTTCACGAGTTGTCTTCAAAATAATTAAAAAATACTCTTATAAGTCTTTCCAGGGTCTCCACACAATAAAACCTGAAAGGCCCACATTATTTCTTAATAGCTAGATTCCTTCAGCTAATTAAAATACACTGGATATTGAGTTGCTTACCTGCCGAGACAGGTTTTCGAAGATGTTGCAACCATCGGTGTTCAGTATTGCCATCGCTTGAGCAAAGTGATGACGCTGTCCCGAAACGAAAGTAAACAAAACAATTTCGTGATGAGTGACGTACTACAAGGATTCACAGTGGTTTGCAAAATTTGTTTGTTCAACGGTAGTTTATTATAATGCTATACATAAACAGCAAGGTTGCCTTAAAACTTGATTCAAGTGTATATACTAATACAGTGGAAACTCATTAATTTGAGCCCGATGGGGACCAAACCTTTGTTGAAATAAAGCAAAGTTTGAATTACTGGGAGTTTCAACCCACAGAGATGCATCGGATGGGACCTGCACGTTAGTTTGAATTACCGAGATTCCACTGCACTGTGTGCTATTACAGAAAAAAGTTTAGTGTCATGCAAGCCACAATTAATTACAATGAAATTCAGACGACATCTCACCTCCATGACGGAGCCTTCAGAACTGTACAGTGAGGCGAGGATGGATTTCTAGAAAGGATGAGGAGGAAGTTTGCTAAGTTATTTTATGCCTTCTTTTTTTTTTAGAGCAACAATCCAAGAATGACCAAAGTACAACATATATGTGAAGAGGTATTGCACTGCCACCCTTTCTTTAGTAAAATGTGTACGGTGTTGCACACAGAACCAATATGGACATGTTCAATGTTAAGCTGATAACATTAAAGTATGACTGCTAACATAAAGCAAGAAATCAAAACGATGCAAGAAGCAAACCAATTTTTCGGTTTTGAGTGACCTGCACCATCTTTTTGCAGCTCACTCCAGACTCACGAACAAACATTTTACCCATTTTTCCCGGAGAGCTATGTCGCTAATACTCACATTTTCTGGAAATTTCTAATAACATTTTGCAATAGTCTCTGGACACGATAAACTACCTTTAATTACAGTAGGACCTCACTGATATGTTTCTCAGGAGACAGTGGGAAGAAAAGTACAATTCGGGAAAACATAAAAAGATTAGAAGCCCTTGTGGGGCTGGGAGCTCGGCGGGTTTGAGCGTAAAAGCCAGGAAAATGTAAAAACCCGGAACGTATAAACGAGGTCCTACTCTAATACTATTTGCTCTTGGTTCTGTAGTTCACAAAAGTTTAAGAAGTTAGTGGATGCGTTACGTCAAGTGTAAACTTTCTGCCTTTGATAAAACAAATTAAGCGGTCCTCTGTTCAATGTTACACTACAGTCCCAGTGATAGCTGCAACACGTCATGGCGAAATCGTTGGGCATCAGCGTTGCGTTCGGCGCGTGAACAAAAGCATTAAAAACAAAATAGACATCGGAGCATTTTGTTTCGAACGCATAAAAGTGAGTCTCCTGGCACAAGCTCTTGGCACTGACAGTACTACAATGACATTTTGTTCGTGGCTATTTTTTTTTTTTTTTTTTTCCAGGGAGCACGCAGTGGGCATCGGGTACTACAGAAACTAAGTTCTGGAGCAGGTTGTTCACGCCATGGCGTAGCTCTGTGGTAACGCCTCCACTTCGCACGCAGCGGTCCCGGCTTCGATTCCAGCGGGCGGCAGGCAATCTTTTTCGAGGATTTGGCAACATCGACGACAGACACCCTACGCCCTAATACCCAAATGCAGCATCAACTATGACAACAGCTACAACTACGACATCAATGGCGGACGTCATTTCCAGTGGTGGGAAGAGGCCATAACAGCTGTTGCTGTAAAACAAGCCCAAGAGCATGCACTGTAGGAGGAGCATCTCCAGGGTCCTTAACCTGTCACAAACTATAGGCAGAACAAGACTTCAATCAGTGTTGCTGTCTGAGCGATTTTCCAGTCAGCCAATTTCGCGAAGCTTTAAAATTTTGCACAAACGCTTGGTCTCATACAATGCACTGCAAGCATTATGTATTACTTGTGCTTTTGTTTTCCACTGCCAGCTGACGCAACGTGTTAGGGTAACGAAGCCTCGTCAGGCAGAATGTATCCGCCTTTTGCACTGTTCTTCGGAAACCTTGTGTCCAAATTAAAAATTAAAAAAGAGTTCAGCAGGTGTTTTGTGCACGTGCCCCTCTGGTTTCGTGAAATCCTGTTCCACAAATGCCGCAGGTTGTATACTGGATTCATGCCGGTTTGTTACCGTTTCCTGTAATTGTCTGCTACGGAGCGCTAATCTCCTTGCAAGATTTTCGGCGGAAGTAAATTACTACGAAAAATGAGGAGGAGTGGGAATGACTTACGGAGGTGAGTTGGAATGAGTTGTTGGTGCCCCGGTGATCGAGATCGTGACAGAGGCAGGCCACAAACAATGACAGACCCTCGAGTTCCCTGCAAACACAGTCAGGGAACGCTTATTATTATTAATTTATCTATTGATACTGTTAACCTCCATGTGAGTTGTTACAACAAGCGATAGTTACACAAGACCATACAAAGCCCCATAAGATAAACATATTAATACTAAAAAAAAACAGTGAAGTCAAACAAAGACACACCAAAACTTCCAATTAACTATTAGCATAGAATCCTTGTTAAAAAAAAAAAAAGATTATAGCCCAAAACATTTTTTTTTTTTTTTCAATAATGATCAGAACATTAGAGCACGACACATATTAAAAACCACCACTATTAGGTCGTCAACAATAACTGCAATCCTAACAATTTAATACCAAGTAACATGACAAGGTAACTTGCAATTTCTTCCGACAGATTAAGCAAGCTAGTTAGGCAACCGTCAATGCTTGCACAATCATGTTTGGAGGGACAAGGTCCCACTCAACAGCCGTACCGGAAAAATGGGAACTTGTATTAGAAACGCAACTCTTGTTCTCGTACCATGGAACGGAGCTGGCAAAATGGTCGCACTCGAGCAAAACATGGCCAAAGCACTCCCCTCGCATTACCGGTGTCGGCGAGAAAACATGCGGCAGTCGCCAGGAAAGGCAAGCTTGGTTGCAACAGTCAGAAGATGGACGTGAGAGTTTGCAGACGAAGCTTGCATGAAATGTGGGTGGCGAGACTCACGTGAGGTAGGGTCCCACGAGGTTGAGATTCTTGAGGAGCAGGTAGCAGAAGTGGGCCACCGCAAAGGCGTGGTACCAGTTGTGGTATGGGGGATCCCTGTAGCCCTTCTTCACCATCAGCACAAACCTGGGCGGGAGGGGGAGGATACTGTGAAGCAGCCCCAGATCGCCCGTCTTTTCCGTAACAATTCCTGAAGCACGTTCACCACACCATGTTTGTACGACACACAAAATTTCCTTAATGTTGTAAAATTAATATGAAAATATTTTGCCTAGATATCAAAATGCCAAACTGTCATTCATAATGGACTTCAGTGCTTGATAGAAAAATGCAGGAATATTTTGTAAGAAATGAGCCACATTCTCTCGATGTTATGCAACGTCTCCCCCTTTAACTACCGAGCAATTTTGCTAACGGGAATTTAGTAAGTAGCAAACAAAATGGTATTCTCCATTTTTTATAGGCAATAAAAGAATACATAGATTTTTGCAGAGTTTTTTGACTGTTCATGCAAAAATTTCCACATCCTTATATATTATATTCAAATAAAAGTTTATAGAGGTAATCCCCAAAATTGCTTAAAAAGTGGCGCTCTTGATAAACAAGAAACTAGATATGCCGGCAAAAGTAAAAAGATAACCCTTCAATTAGGACAACTGCCTTTAATAATGTCAATATTCTAGGGGACGGAAGCGAAAGCAATAAAAACAAAAAGGGACCCACTTTGCCAGAGAGTCCCGGGGAATCTTGAACCTGTTGATGAAGCCAAGGTCTTCAAACATGGATATCACAACCTGCAATAAGCAATAAGCAAAAAAAATAAACGAGTGAAATATGTTTTTTTTATAACCTGCTATTCTCAAACTTTTGGTTGTCACGCACACCCTAAACCACTCCGAGGACGTTCGAGGACCCCCCAACGCATTCTGCATCAGAGCTCTTGTGCGACGGCATAGGAAGCTTTTTTTTTTTTTTTAAGAGTTGTTTTATTTGGGGCAGACCCCCGTGAATGCCTTCAAGGACCTCTTCGGGGTTTCGCAGACAAAAGTTTGGGAACCGCCGATTTAGACAAACGTCTAAGAAGGGGAGCAAAAGACGGCTTACGCCACGCTACGAGATTACACCCCCCCCCCCCCCTCTCCGGAGCACTCCCAGCGTACAATAGTACTACCTATTGGGAAATGGTGCAAGATACGACTACCAAAACGTCGGTGGTGCCAGAACAATTCACAATTCTGGTAGGATCCGTCCGACACAGAAAGAGCGACTGCCAAACAAGCATGCAGGCATAGCGACTGTCAAAGTGACAGTGAAGCGAAAATGGCGTAGTTTTAGGATTTTGACAGATAGTCGAGGTATTTGAGGGAACAAGCTTCCAAATTCTAACGTAAAATGGCCGTCCGTTGCCTCGTAGGACGACTACTAACCACGAGAGTAGTCCGGTCAGGAATCACGCGCGGCGTGAAGGAGAACTTTGCAAAGTCGGCGCTGAACGACAATGGACTGGGCACCTCCTTGTTCAGTAACTGCTTCACATCTTCATTCGACACCTGTGGAGAAATGAAGAAATAAAGAGAGAAATGCCACGTCTTGGCGCGCTATTGAAAAACTGCCCTAAAGCATACCTCCTCCTGACCTCGTGTTAAAACGTGAATGCACCCCATCAGTGCCGTGCCAACCTCCAGATAATTTCATGTCAGTTTAGTACATATAGAAACCACATTCACAGCAGTTTAATGCCTAGATGATGAAGTACTGCTTGACATCATAACACGAGAATAATGCCATTTCTACAACATGCTCCCTGCAAGCTTATTTTCTATCCTGTACAGGGGCTCCAAGAGTTTGGTCGCCACTCTGTCGTCGATCTTGTGCTGGTCTCTTAATTTTGACATCACTTTGAGCTGATCTCCCGCCATTTCGAGCCAATTTCCTTACTATCTCACGCAGACATAAATGTCACACTCATTATACAAAAGCCACTCACCAGCATGTGGTACATCATGAGTTCGTTCGAGAGCTTGCTTCTGTGCTGTGCATCCCTGACCTTCTTCCACATCAGAGACTGGAAAAAAAAAAGGAACACACATACTTCATCGGGGGCAATGGTAGATAATATACGAAAGCTATAAACCTATGTTTACACAAGACATGCGTTCTGTACAAATCAGATGCACACTGGCAGTATAAGTGGCATATCAATAGAAACATTGGTTAATTTAGCAAGTGGAGTCATCATCAGCCAATCAGATAATGTCAGCTGCTGCTATACTACAAAACATATTGTTCACTAAAGTTTATAGACCCCCCGGTTAGGACGGACAAGTAAAGCTCCTTGTTTCGAGCATCAATTGAAGAACGGTGCCAGGAATCAGCAATGTCGATGTTCAGATGACAATAAATAAAGAATTATGGTACTACAACAGAATGATCAAGACAGCAAAACGAAGCAGTGGTAGGCATGCACTGCTGGTGAGGTATTTTTAAGGTTGGTGTCGTACATGTACAGCGATGATTACACATGTGAAAGTGACCACGTAAATGTAAAACTGCACGCACTGAAGAAGGCGTTGCTATTTGGTATGTCTCTGGCGAACCACTAACGTTACATTTGCACGGTGTGTCGCTCTGCTGAGCTATTTGTAGTTTCCAAATTAGATGCTGCGTGCACGTGATGGCCGCTTTGCACACTGGCAGCTGTGGCGGCAGTGCCAACGGGAGAAGCTCTTTAAAGTACCTCAGTTAGAAATCTGAAGCCGCTGGAATGTCGTGAAAGCGAACCTACCAAAATGAAACAGGATGGAAGAGACGTGACAATGTTTTGCCCCTTAAATACTTTTATTTAATGCTTCTAAACCAAAACAGCTTGCAAGCACTGTATGTGCTCCCACTAGGTAATAAAAAGAAACTGTGCACTGAACCTTTTTCTAAGGGCCCGTTCACACTCTTGCAACCGAGTACGACCGAGAGAGACGAGATCAGTTAAAACTTCTTAATATTTCTTAAGACGAGGGAACACACTGGCATTCTGGCGCCATCTATGCGGTGACCCTGGAACTTCATTTTACAAGAGCAAAGGTTTCGTGGGATTTCCGGGGTCAAATGTGCATAATGCCTATAAGAAAGGCGTGTTTATAACGTTGACAAAAGTTTTTCGAGCCAAGAAAGAAAGGATAATGCGCGAAAGAAATAGAAAACATGCCGGACCACCAAGTTTACACTGCTACCCAATAGATGGTGCCAGTGTGTCCTCTCGTTGTAAGAGGTTTTAAGGAACCCAGTTTTAAGAGGTCGCAAGAGTGCGACTTTATACTATTCCTTCGATAACAAAACCCAACCACTGGGAAACATCTTTTGCGAAAGAAACTAGACCATCAAAATATTATGAAACCCCATAGTAAAGATTATCGCTAAAAAGGGTTCCTCTCCTCAGCTAAAAAGAGATGGTCATGTCTCATAATACAGACCCTGTATAAATTAACACTCCGCTACATAGACAATTTTAAAGGGAAAATAGGCTAAATACGTGAATTTTTTTCTCGTTATCTTTGACAACACATATCACCGAAGCTAGGGGGATGAAGGCGTCCAAATCAATGAGAAAACGACTGCATTTCAGGGGCGGCACGCAAATGAGGAAACCCCTCGAAGTCTTTGTACAGGTGTACCTGCGAGCTCGGGTAACGGACGACCAGGTACTCACATGCATAATGCTGATGCCGCAGTATATGGAAAAGGCCTTGGCGATTTCCTCATCGAAGAAGGAGAAGTGCTTGCCATTGATCTTGTTGCACAGCTCGGCCACTCCAATAACGGCTGCACAAGATGACAACGAAAAAGAGACAACATTTAGCGTAGACCATGTACGTGGACAGGAGCACTGAACGCGTCGGCGGCTTGCTCGGAGCCTTAGACGCTGACCTTCTCCGAGTTCGTTAAAAAGTGAACAACTCAAGAAATCGTCACTTGGTACCTACCGTTGCCGGCATCTGAATGCGCAACCCACAAATTACCGTCGCTTTTCATTTTTGTTTTTCGTCCGACGGCACGCGAATGGAACGCAAAGTGCACCAAGCGTGTCAACCTACCAGATTCATCTTTGATGGGGAAGCACAGAATGTTTCTGCAAGAACGTTTAGAACATTAGAGAGGAGTCGTGCACACTCGCCGGATGTGCGCCCGAACCTAGAGAACGAGCAAGAGCTGGGGAAACAATGCCGCCAGCAAATTACCTCGTCTTGAAGCCGGTGGTTTCGTCCATCTTCCGATAGAAGAGGGGATGTGCGTAGGCGTCGTTGATGTTCAACAGTTCACCTGAAGGAACTCTGCGTTAGGTTTCGCCAATCCTTAGCTACACGGCAACATGGTTGTAAAATAAGGCCAACAAGCTATCCTCCAAGATGTAGCAGTCTTAAACTGCGACGATTCTTCCCGTGAAAAAATATTGACCATAAAACTTGAGAAAAGCATGGTACCTGAAGTTGCCACGTAACCAGCGATGCCCTGATTGGCCGGAATCCGAACTTCCGTCATAGCCTGCGAGCCAATTGAAAGTGAACACTGAAGAGGGCCACACACAATGTCACCTAAAAACCAAACTGCCAAATGTGCCACAGGTTTTTTGAAGTGACCATGAAACAGAGTTTGGGAATGGGATGAGTGCATACTGGAACATGAAATTTGTTAATGAAACACTTTGTTTCTGCCTCATAAATCTGGAAATGAAATGGCAGTCCATTCAACAATTTGTGTGGGCATTTCTGCTTTTTTACCTCTGAACAGCAAATCAAACAAACAATGCAATAAGAGGTAGGAGCCCACGCTGGATGAAGTTTTTGGCTGGTTCATTTTGCTTCCACAAAAACCGGAGCCAACTACACAAAACCGAAGCACTTGTTCCAGATTCACCGTCCATCAGTTTTATTCTGAGCACTATTCAGCCAGACTCTGAAAATCACCTTACGACCTAGAGCAGCCCAAGGAGTTCGGAACAAATTGCAAAAAATTTATAATGAAAAAACTAATTTAAAAAGACATGTTTCCAAACTCGTGTCTGCTGGTTACAAATAAGTGCTCTTCTCGTATGCCAACGGAAACGAAAACGTTGCTAAGAAACTAACCTCCGTTCCGTCCTCGGCCAAGTTGCCGTCAAACACTTTGGCAACTAGTTCGTTTTGGTCCTTGTCCAGCAGGAATAATGAGCACCTGTACGAAAAAAGGGGCAGAAAAAAATGCCTCAGAGACCCGTGTCACTTGTCATTTTAGGTTAGACATTGATGACTAACCCGCAGAGTTATGCAACAACAAGCAATCTCCCCTAAAAAAACAACACAATTGTGTTGTGTGCTTGTTTAGACAATGGGAAACTGTAGAGCAATTTAGCCATCACAGTTCCGCCGCTAACCCGGGACCTTTAACATGCATCCGGCAGTAGTGATACGTCACAGCACGCCAGTAAAATACTCATCCAGATCGATTGAACCCAGAATTCCTGGGTTCTGGTTTCTGCAGAGTCAGCCTTTTGCTCCACGTGTTCCAAGCTGCGGCGTGTCAACACGGTATCACAGCACGCCAGTACAATACTCATCCAGATCGATTGAACCCAGGATTCCTGGGTTCTAGTTTCTGCAGAGTCGGCTTTTGCTCCACGCGTTCCGGGCTGCGGCGCGTCAACACGCTCAACCAACGGTCCTCTCGAATCTCACCAAACGAAAAGACAAAAAAACCGAAGAAAGCAAAAAGAAAGGATCCTCACCTCTCTGCTTTCGTGAGGTTGCGCGCGTCTGCCATGATCTCCTGCAGGAGCAACGTCACATCGTCTGCAAGGACGCGGTTCGAGAGGTCACGTCAGAATGCCAAGGCGCCACGATACGGAGGGTTAAACGTCGCTCCGAGCACCCCCCCCCCCCCCCCCCCTCACTGCTCCGAATCCAACATTCCCAAAACATTACGCAGCATCAAAACTATCTTGACGCCGATGCCCAACGCTTCCAAAGACGCCGACCAACTGCTCCCTCTATCTTGCAGCCCGACAAAACCGACGCATTCGCTGGGGTAAAGGGTGATTCGCAACTTGCCTTGAGTCTGACGGAGTGCGAGGGTTGCCATGGCAACAGCTGCGTCGGCGTCAACAAAGCCGGTTTTTATCCCGTTTTGTTGGAGCCGGCGCAGCTGTTGCCAAGGCAATCTTCGCAGCCGGTCGGACTCAATTTAATTGTGTGAATCGCCTTCAGAAGCGACGCAAGTTTCACCAGACTTGCAGTACGAGAACTGCCAAACCCGTCCCTTAAAATTTACAATGCAAGACACGGTGCAAGACAGTTTAAAGAGTAACAGCGGGAAAGAGGAGAAGTGATAGTGACTAACACAAGTACCGACTTAGACCCAATACAAATTCCGAATGAGAAAAAAGTAAGCGAGAAAAAAACCACAGGAAAAACTAGATGTGCACTGTTCTTCACTATGTCTTCCCTTTACGAGCTAAACCAGTATACCAATGAACACACTGTAAACAACTCAAACTTCGCGAGGAATAAATCTTCGTGAATTTTGCGACACGAAAGATGTTGCGAAAAATTAGTGTTGCGAATATATCACCTCATGCGGAGGAATACAGAGCTTACCAGACCTATACTCCGTGTCACTAGTTGCGTGCAGTACAAGTGAAGGCAACGCCAGGCAAGGGGAGAGAAACATCCTCTCTAATGTTCCTAGTGCTCTCCCTTTCTCCACCTACCATCCATCGCCCTTCTCTCTTGTCCCACCTTCCTAGTGCTGGCCCTTTCTCTCTTCAGCTGGCATTGCCTTCACCTGCACTGCACACAACTAGTGACACGGAGTATAATTGCGAAATATTTCCAAAGTCCACACTTCGCGAAATGTCGTGCTCGCGAAAATAAGGTAGTTGACAGTATTACTTTGCCCTCCCCTTATAAAGCAAAAAAAAATCACGTGCCACTCCTTTTTCCGTTTTCATATGACCAGCGACAATGCAAAGGTTCCTCACCTAAATGCGTGAAGAGGTTCTTCGCCACCAGCAGCAACGACTGCAGAAAGAAAAAGAAAACCGGGAAATGCACATTCAGTTTCGTCGCTTCCAGTCCAAAGCCGCCGAAGCAAGGCCGAAAACCGGCCAAGCTCGTCAAACGACGGCCACACAAAGGGGACAACGCCCACGAGCAGGTGTCGGAGCGTGACAGGCGTCGGAGAAGGGGGACAATACCTGGCACTCTTCCCTGAGCCGCCGCTCCTCCTCGTAAGCCGTCGACTTAAGCAGGCAGGGAGTGATGCACTGAAAACATTCGCGCAGCGCCGCCTCGTCGCGCCGCGTGAACCTGAGCGGAACAAGGAAAGCGGGCACTCAGTCGCGGTTCGAGAGGAACTTGCATGATTTCAGACAGTTAAGTTGCACGACTTGTGAAACCTACAAACTTGCATCAGTTGTACCTTGCTACCTCAAACTCCGACGCCACAGTGTTCGTTTGGGCAGAACCCACAAACTCACGTCGGCAATACGTTGTTTCCTCTAACTTGAAACCCCCCAGCGGTGGATTGAGTGAAACTTGCGTAATTTTAGACAGCCAAGTCGCGTGAGCCAAGTCACCAAATTCACGAACTCACACCTGCTGTACTTCACTTCCCCAACCTTGAACTTCTCAGCTTTTGTTCGAGCAGAACTCGCATAATATTAAAGAACTTACATCTGTGGTATTATGGGAACCACGAAGTCCATGAACCCACGTGACCTATAAACTCGCGAAACCCATGAACTCGTGAAACTCGTGAGCTCATGACACCTGTGAACTCTCATCAGCGGTACCAGATGATTCTCCCAAACTCAAATTGCTCTCCCAAATTCCCAGTCTCCGAGCACCACTAGAAGGGAGGAGTAAGGGTGAAGTGGAAAGCTTGCTCACTCTTTGCCATTGGCCTTGTTCACCACGCAGGGAAGCATGACGACCCGGTCGGTGAACCTTGGGTGGTGCACCGGGACACACAAGAGTGAGTGGAGGGCAGACCCAATCAGTCGACTAACCTCCTCTCGATGGTCCTGCATCGGATTGAGAGAAGCCAGCGAGGAAGTTTATTCACCGCCTTAACCGCTTTTGTGACGATGTTTCATATTGTTTGGTCTAGGTCTCGCACTCCACATGAGTCACTAGGATTATTTCTTCACATGCCCACATGTAAACTCAAACTTCACTCCTTTGCCCTGGTACTTCCCTCTCCCCTATTCCCCATTCCCCTAGCAATGAACTTCCCTAGCTAATCCCTAGAGTCCCCCCTACGCATCTTGTTGTGACCTCATGCCACCTAGACCCTCACAACGCGACGCTGCACTAAGTTTTAAGCGGGAAAGCCGAGCAGGGCGACGGTTCGATTGATGTGGTCGCCATAGTGGCGAAACAAAAACAAAATAGACCCTTTCCGGAATTCAGTCTGGCCACTTTGATCACTATCATCGTTTAAAAAATGGCATATGTGCTATACTAATGGCAGCCTTTTGTTTACTGATGAAGGAAGAAGTTGAAGATGTTCCTAAGCAGATGATTCGAGGCCTATAGATTCTAGATGTTAGCGCGACGTGAAGGAGGAATTGGATGCAAGAGCTGCGAAGCGTTTACTCCGAACTCGAGCCTAGTCAATATGTTAGCAGCACACACTCGGCTTGAAAGCCCCTTGCTGTACAGAACTTTATCAAGGCGTTTATGTTGGTTGGTGCTTCGTTCTGACTGGCTGCATATTTTTTGCCATCGAAACTGAGAGAGATTGAAAAAGAAATGTACAGTGAAGTGCACATTCTCGTTTACTGTTAACTTGCGAAAGTGGCGGTGCCCCATAAAACACTGCAGACCACAGGTTCATTGTCGCCATTAGTACGGTAAAAGTTAAACTGCCATTTGAGTCGCCAGATGGCACTGAATTCCGGAAAGGGTCTGTTATGCGCCAGTAGAACTCTGTTTTGGAATACGATTTAAAGATGACTTTTGCGGATTTCGTGCGGAACATTGCGGACCCGATTAGAACTGTGCAAGGTCGCCAGCACCCTGTTATGAACGTCAAGGCGCATTTTCCTTTTGGCTTAAGCACGCTTTTTAGGAAGGGACGACGGACGTACATGATGGATGTCTTCGAGACTGAGAGGGCGCTTGTCGGATATGGCGTAGCTGAAGCTGTTGCCCAAAGCCTGTGACGAGAAACAAAATGAGGATGATTACCCTGAGCCACTTCGGCCTTACTGTGCGTAACCTCACACCAGAAAATCATGCACATGTGAGCTTTGTTGTGTACCGAATGAAATCAACATGCTACAATGGGACCCTTTCAAAAAACAATTCTTCCTCTGTTTACACGTTTGAGGTTGTTTTCAAAACCCTTCCATTTCCTTGCTCTTTTGTTACCGGGATTGAAAATGAACTGGAAATTACATTTTAGAAAAAGATGTTCAATTGTTGGTTCACTAACAATTTTACTCAAAAGAAAATATCAAAAGCTAAGGACGACGTGAAAGTTCAGAAAATATAATATACTCTTCTAAATCAGTCGTGAAAAAAAAAAAAAAAAATTCTGTCAAACCCTACAATTTGAAACCTTGCTGGCTAACAGTACTTATAGTATGCTGTGACATAAAAAGATGGAGAAGCTCCTTCCAAAAAGCTCTCTGCTCACTACAATTGGTGGCAGGTGCAGACGCAGGTATTTCTGCCTGCAACAGACGACAGCTGCAATTTCGCGATGTAATTCAGCTTTGTAGTTAACTTCAGATCGCCATACTTCCCTTTATTGCCAGATGAATGTTTTCCGAAAGCCGCCTGGCCGAGTTGCGACGCCAGTTAACGCGCATAAGTTTGAAGTCGCACCCACAGCAATTGTAATGCAATTAATCATTCCCATCATTTAACATATGCAAATATCAAAGCCTTCAACAAACAATGAAGTGGAGAAAATTTATCTCCAGCGTAGCACCTTGTGACACTCACCGAAAACTTGGCCGGTTCTTCTAGTATCCGATCACCTATCACCTGAAAAGGCAGATCCAGCAAACCAAAACGGAAGTTTAGGAAACCTTCCAGAGGACCCAAGCCAGGAGGTGTCCAAGGGCACCGTCTTATTAGACAACAAACACCGCCGAAAAGCTTGGGAAAACAGAACACTCGAGATTGCAACCAAGAAAAAGGCACACACGCACGGAGTCTGCAGCTCAGTGTTTCCGCCGTTATCTACCGATATGCTCGACAACAAGTGCGAACACATTCTCCCGAACGACGGTTTCTCGCTAATGAGAGCTGATGAGGAGAGTTCCACATTTTACTTTCTGTCTTACGGTGGTTTTCAAGCACGAACTGGTGCAGCACTCCTTCCGTGTTAACCACGGTACTCAAACCGTTTTCGCAGCGACCTTTAGGGGAGTAAACAATGTGCAACTTCAGCGATTTTTTTGGTAACGAGAATTACCGCAACCGGAGTTGGGGTTTCTGTTGTTAATCATCGTCTGTCTGAAAAACAGACTGCAATATGCGCAGACAGAAATTGTGAAAAGAAAATTACGAGAGGGTGTTGAGGTAACTACTTACAACCATGTACATGGAGTTTTGACGCTTTCTTGAACTACACCAAAGCGGTTTGATGCAACGAATGCTCCGTAATGCGATGCACCACAAAAGACGACTTTAGAGGACGACGCTTAGGCGCACAAACTAGAAACTCGAAAGCAGGCTGTATGCCTCTGCGACCACACCCCATCACACTCTTACAGCATGAAAATGATTGTACAAACACCATATGCAAAACAGTGAGTGTCACGTATGTGCAGCAAGGCAATCGTTATGCAGACTCCACCGTAGGCGCAAGCACAACTGGAAGGCATCGCCCATTCAGTTTGAATCGAAGCTCGTAGCAACCCCAATGCAAGAAGCGGACGACGACGGGCAGAGGACAGAAGCGTGCGTCGGGAATGAGTCACTGGGGGTTAATAAGACTTCAAGGATAGCGCGGGCGACACCTACCTTACAAATCAGCTCGTCCTGTTCCTCGGACACAAGGAGTATAAAGGCATGTTCGCTCTGTGTGGTCCTTTGCAGCTGTAAACCCGCCAGAAAACAAATTTTCCTTCAAAAACCGCTCGTCATTGGGATGCACTTGTTTCGAATGTGCAGGCAGTGGTACTTACATACTCGACCACTTTAACCTGAATGTCAGTTGAGAGGGGGTCGTATAGGCTAGCTGTGGGGGAAAAGGGAAAAACGAAAGGACGGTGTGTGAGCCGGGAGCTTGACGTGTGCACGTTTAGACTGCGAGCGTTCCGAACAACGTACCACATAACTGAAATAGGCTTTGGAGGTCCGACTGCATTCCTTTGAAGTTGGGCCAGCGTTGTTTTCTAACGGAAAGAAAAAGAGGTTGCGCCAAGTTAAATACACGGCGCTCGCGAGCGAAGTCGGTGGATTAATTGTAGTGTACGACTTGGGGGCATGATATTAGAGAATTTCAAGAGCTGGCACGGTAGAAGAGATGTCTTAAAGAACTTAATTACAAAATACCTTATCTACAGGTAAAAAACCACTGAAAACACCGAGACGAACAGGAGACCGTCTCGTCAGACTTTCACGAAATCAAATAAGAGGGCCAGTATGCGACAAATACGCTAAATAAAAAGGCGTTTGTCGAATGCTCTGTGCACTCAGGCAGACGACGGCACACCATGGTTGAACGGCATGCAGTTCACAAAGACAGATGTTAGTTAATTTAGGGAGAGAGAGTAATTAAGTTTTAGTTCCAGTAGTCTTACTTTTTTCGCAGAATTCTAGGTTTTCGCAGAAGCCACGCAGACAAAAAAGTAGGACAGAATTGGGGAGGGGAAGAGAGGGGGGGAGAGAAGAAAGAGTGAGTTACAAAGCGGTGTTGAGAGGGACATTTGCAGAAAAAGCGGCAAAGACAATGGCACGCACTAGCAAGCACACACACACACGAAGTGCAAGCATGCAGGTGAGGACATAGACCGACTGGACACATAAAGGCGCTTTTAGAACGGGCACTTATTCGACCACCTCGAGCTCAGCTCGCTAATTTGCGCTAACCGAATTAGACTGCGACAAAGTTGAGCCCAAGGGACAGCTGCAAAACTTGAGACGTTGATCGAAACGGTTTGCTTGGAGGGTGCCTAGGACAAGTGGTGCATTGCTTTGTTTCTTTTCTTGCTTTGCTGCAAACAAAATGCTAAGATATGATGGGTCAAGCACAAGCAGTGTGGGGCTAATTTTAAACGTGCTAAGAAAAAAAAAAAATTATTGTCGGGAATTTAGGAGGGACCGGCACAAAATCGACAGTCACGGAAACTACAGCTCCAATTCTGAGAAGGAAAAGTATGTGATATATCCCTGTAATGCTGGTGTGAGTAGTAACACAATTTCAGACAAGTGAAAGTGAAAAAAAATAAAGAAAAAAAAAGGGGGGCGTTTTCTTTCAATACACGGCACAAACGTTGCATGTAGAGCACTACGAAACGATCGAAGGACAATAACAGAAACAGGTGTTAAGAAACTACGAAGACAGGAAATCGTGCAAATTTAGTAAAAATAAACAACGCAAATGGCGCGTGCTAAACTAACTTACCCAAATATGGAGCCCATTTAATTGCAATTGTTTATTGGACCGCATCACTTTGGAAGAAATAAACGAGTTCGTATCAGTTCGGGGGGGTCTCCTCAAACAGGGGAGAGAAAAGCAACAAAAAACACGTTTCTTTTTTCCCGTCAAGCTCGAACTGCCTACAACAAACGACCGCTAAGCGCATGCACTTTTGCCTAGTTCCGGAAAAGTTAGTGGAAAGCAACCGGTAGCATGCATTCCCTTTATGCCTATGACTTGCTCTAGTTTTTATCGGTAACTCGAGATAATAATTTGAGCTGTACGTGCGTTGGCTGGTCAGTAGGCTTAGGCGAACACGGTCAACTTGGGCATTGGTCCCACTAGTTGGGGCGGCATTAGGTCTAGTCCGACGGAAGATACCCGGTCCCTTTTTACCGAGAGAGCAGGCGACATGACGAGCACCGTTTAAGGTCAGTAACACAATGAAAATAAACAGAACGACCGACACCGGCAGCACCCGACTCCGCGGCGCCCGACCGTGGCAGAACGGCGGCAGATTAAATAAACATTAAAAAATAAAAATAAAATAAAGAAAGAAAACGACTTAGTGCAGAGAGCAACCGCTTGAGGCGCTCTTCGGTTCCGGTTTCGATTTTGGCTCGTTTCTTTTTCGTTTTTTTTTTTTTTTATTGATCTGCTTTCATAGCGGAAGCGCTTCGACGTCCACGCAACCATCACGCGTAATGGTATGCGCCAATTTTTTTCGTCCTGTAATCATGTATTTATGTAAATTAGGCAGTTATAATAGCACCAGTAGAGTGGTAACAGCGCACTTTCCCGAACGATCTTGCTCAATTAAAATGGGAGCGGAGTAACCTCTTCGAAGGGGCCGATGAGTTGTAGAGGGGGAATTTTGTCCGAGAAACCTACGGTGTTAGAAGTCCAAAAGCGCATACAAATAATAAATAAAAAAAATGCAAAGAGAAAAGATAAGCGAGTTGACAGATGCGCCCATCTTTCATTTTAGTTGGCGGCAGCAAAACTCAAATTGCAGGCCTCGCTGGCCTTGCGGGTCAGACAGAGAGGCGACATACACGGCGGCATCCTTTTTAGTAGCGCAGACTGAGGGAGCTCTCCCTGACGTCAGGGCGTCACGTGTCGACGACACAGAGTCCGTGTTACTGAACTTGGCGTGATAATGCGCGTGAATGCATTTCCTGCATGTGCGCCAACATCCGTTTGGCGGAAAATTAGACGGAGATGCATTCTTTTGCGCAGCAAACTGGAGCGCCGTCATTTTATCCGGCGCCAAGTTGCGCAAGGCACCTGTGTGTCTTATATTCGAAACACAATGCCGCCTCCCGAACGCTCTGGGCATTTCATCACAGTTTCATGAAAGGGACCGAACTCCACGGCAGGCTGCATCTCCGATGACTGGAAGACTTTCATAGGAACGATCGAATTTATTATTCAAGACGTCGCGCAGCGACGCGGAGATATTTCGTCTTGTGATATCAGGTCGAAGTCATAGGTCCAGAATAATTTATCCTCCCCCCCCCCCCTTCTTTTTTTTTTTCCCCCCTTCTGTTTGCTAGTTTTGAAATGTCGTCTGCCAGTGACATCACCTCGACGTCTGCGAACAGGCTCCACGAGATACCAAAAGAAATCATTTTCAAACGAAAATGAGTGAACCGAGGACGATCCAAACAGAGAGACCAAAGATTTACGTTTAGAAGGAAGACGCAGCGGAGACAAAAACACGAGACAGCAAAAAAGTCATAAAAGAAACAGGATAGGGGGGAAAGCGCACGCACACCGCCAAACAAAAAAGCAGACGACGACAGGTTTGAAATAGCAGACGACACTTTGCAGACGGGAGCCGGAAAAGCGAAAGATGGCTCTACATCTTTGCCACAAAGCGCAGGGCTTGGAAAGTCAGAGATGGTCTAAAAACATGCCAGGAAGACTCACAAGTACGCGTAAAATGCCTTGCAGTAGAGTAGCTTGCCGGGGTATCCCATGTTGCTTGAATGAAACGCACTTCGACTCTGACTCCCAACGGGAAAGATAGCGTCGGCTCTTTTTTTTTCTCTCTCGGAGGCAGACTCCAAGGCGCCGGTGACGCGTACGGGGGTGTGTTCATAACCGCCTCAGAACCGCGCAGCCGCTATGACGTAGCTATGACGTTGCTGAGAGTAGCTCCAGATTGACTCTTTCGTCATGCGAACGAGTGAGCGCAATTCTATGGAAGCTGACGTCACAGACAATTTTCTGCAGCGAGAAGCTCCGCTGATTCAGCCTTGGGGTTGGGTGACAGATAAACGAGCGCAGTTTACTCTCCCCGTCCACTCCCGCGGTTGCCTCAGCATCATCGCTGGCAATCGTTCCTCGTCATAAGGTTTGCCCTTTCCCTCGCCAACGTTCTTTCACGTGCTGGAGATTGCTCCTAACGTCGCCGGATGCCGCCACCATAGCTTTCAGTGTTCCATCGAAGCAGTTAGGCATGAGAAGCGCAAGTCCGTCTGGTTCTTTTGCAGGTGCAGTGTTGACGTCAGAACGCCAAGTTCTGATTGGCTCTGATGGAAGGGACAGACCTCAAAGCATCTTGTCTTGAGGTCTACCCACTACCTTTCAATCAGTGCCATTGAGAGCTCGGCGTTCTAACGCCAGCAGAAGCACTGCAAAAGAAGCAGACGAACTTGCGTTCCGTATAGGTTCTTTAAAAGCTTAAAGGTGTAATCTTTAAACGATTAAAATGCGTGCTTTGAACGAGCCAGTGGCTGCGAAATAGCTGAAATTATATTTATTGTACAGTGAGTCTTCAGAGTAAAGTGGTGTATCTAGCACGTATTTTTCAAGACATCTAGATAGATTATCCTGCGGTTGCTACTGACTACTTGGTCGCATAAAATACTGAGCCGGCAAATATAGTAATGATTAAAAAATATATGACCGGGTACACCAGCATATGTATGGAACATATTTAGATGTTAATAAAACTTTAAAAAATAAAACTAAAGAATAAATCGCAAACTCGAATGCAAAGCTTTTCAATTGTGGGAAGGAAGATAATAAATTTTTCAACGTACGTCCAAATATCCATAAATATATATATATATATATATAGCGAGAGAGAGAGAGAGAGAGATTGCAAGGAAAATAAAAATAAGAGAACACAGTATGAATTTTTGTCGTGATCTGAATACCGTAAAGATTACAGCTTTGACGCTGTTACGTACACGCTATTACATGACGGGTAAGTCGGAATATTAATTGCAGAAATTTTGAAAAATAGGACGACACTCCTCAGTGCCGCGTGGACTTGTTGTTCTTGGTCACTTTAGGATTTGTTTCTCAAGCTGCGTATCCGTGTTCGAACACAGAGCTTCGCCAGCACCTCTTGAGAAGATAATACTACAAACCCAAATATCACAACCCTTCAACATCAAAGAAGAGAAAAGAGGCTAAGTGTTCCTTTCATCTTCCGGACCGCTCTTGCGAGGGCAGGGAACGTCAGCGACGGCTGACAATGATGATTAATGAGCAAACTAAGGGTCAGCGCCTAGAGCCATAGAAGACATCATTATAAATTATTCATCGATGCTGGCGACATCGAGAGTTTTTCCGTACTCATATTTTGTCAAACTAACTTATAAAGAATTAAAAAAAAAAAAAAATAAAGAGAGAGAGAGAGAGAGAGAATGAAAGATGGAAGCCTCACGGCGCACTGAAAATTCGCGACACCAAACTGCTAGTCTATTACAGCTTTTCAGCGCTTATCATGCGGGCAAAAAGGACTGTCACTAGGCTACGGCCGGATGCGCGGCTTCTGATATTTTGCAGAAGAGAACTACCGCTCTTGCTCAAAACGCATTCCACGAGGCAGTATAGACAAAGATGGCGGCATAAAAAAAAAAGAAAAAAAAGAAAGGTTATTCAAATATAACTATATAAAACAAATCCGGCTTTTTGCGACACGATACTAATTTTCCCTTCCTTCGTTGAATTAAGATATATGTCGATGTATCTTAGATTAGATTCACGCTATTGTTTCGAGCCGAACACGTTTCAAGAGCCAAAAATCGTCGCTTCTTTGTTTGACAACTGTATTTTTTCGAGAACTACTTCGCGCAGCGCACAAATAATGCGACAAAAGTCCCGCTCTTTTTTTTTTTTTTTTTTCATGATGTGCACAACGCGTATATAAGTCCGAGCGCAGCCGCGACGCTACTACTCAATGGATTCAATCAGGCAGCGCCAAAAGTGCAGCGTCACAGCGCTCGCTTTCTTTGTGCGTCTGCTATCGCCAACTAAAACTAATTACACACTGAAAAAAAAAAAAAAGAAAACAGCGCTAAGATTAGGGCGAATTTATACTAAACGTGATTGGTTGATCCGGTGATAGAAGAACGCGCAAAGGCGACGAGTGCCGCCGCTGCCGTGACGATGCACTTTTTATGTTCGCAAGTGCGGCCTCTGGGCGCCGCCATCTTGCTGCTGGTGTGGTTCGTCTGCTTCTTTTGCACGGGTTGCGGTGACGTCAAGAGTGGGTAGACCTCAAAGCAAGCTGCCTCGAGGCCTACCCACTATCCTTCAATTACAGCCAATCAGAGCTCGGCGTCTTTCTGACGTCAGCGCAACCCGTGCAAAAGTAGCAGACGAACTTGCGCCCCGCTTAGATCGTCTGATAGTCAAGCATCGCTGGCCGCGGACAAGTTTTGCGTGTGACCTGTGTCAGAGGGGGCCGTCGCACAAGGAGGAAGGAACGCACCTTAAACACTGTCTGCGGACTGTTTTTTTTTTTGTACGATGTGCTGGCAGCGTGACGTAGGCTTTATTAATCAAAACAAACACGCCCGACCCGGAGGGGGAGGCTCGCGGAAACGATCTGTTTGTCTGGGAAGCTTTCCAAGTCGGCCTGACGAGGCCCCAGGTGTTTAGGAGAGGAGGAAAACGCGAAACGTTGAACAGACAAATAAAATAACGAAAGAAAAGAAAAGAAAAAAGCGTTCCCTGGATTACGACACCGTTTCGTCACAAATGCTTCGGGTTTTCCTCGACCCAGAGCTTGTTTATTGCCGGTCATTGTTCCATTGTTTTGTTTTTCTTCTCTCACGAGTTCTTCTCCTGGGGTTTTACGTAGAGAGAGAAAGCATTATTTATTTAATTACTTGCTCATCTTCTATCCCAGTGGTTCTCAAATGGGGGTCCGCGGACCCTTTTTGGTCCGCGAAGGTATTTAAGGGTCCGCGAAGCCCGGCTTCATCAGTCAAGCCCGGAAATAAAAGTTTTTTTTTTTCTCAGATTGTGAAGAAACGTTCCAATTTTTGGGCGAGTTTTCTCGTGTATATGTCAGTAAGAGAAGTCTACTTCACACTAGCCCTCACTTATATCAGTTTATTAATTCACTATCATAATTAACCTATACTTTCCCTTCCCCTCACCACGAACGGGGTCCTCCACCATCTTCGCCGATCCACAAGGGGTGCGCGAAACATTAATGGCTGAAAACCAATGTTCTATCCGATAGGCTCCTTTCGGAGAGGAGGGTGGGGGGACTCAGGA